GGTAGATGAGGAACTAGAAATAGTAGTGAACATAGTGTATGGGTTGAAAAGAATAGACAAATGAAAGAAGACTACTGTATTTATAGTCAGTCATATTGAAATCGAGGTTAGTCTAATTTTGAAGCTTCACACAACCATACTTTCTTATTTTACCAGACGGTTTTCAGTAATGTAAATAAATTTCAGTTGATAAGTACTTCTCAAAAGTGATTTCTCACTGTATTCATAAGTGTACAAAATTAGGAACCTCGGGTAAATGTATAAATGCATATATGTACCTCTCACTGTTTTTGTTCTAAACAGTTTAGACAAAAGAATCAAATAACATAACCACTTCGATTGAGCATTGTTTGTTGGAAATTCTTACTAAAAAGTCGAATGGATTTCGTAATACTCACAGGTAATGAAATATTATGTTCATACAAAGATTTTTCCTAGTGGTTAATAACGTTATTACGTAAGACGTCCTCTATCACATTTTGACTTGGTATTGTGTTCTACTTTTATTCTCTGTTATGTAGTAAGTTCTGGTATTCAGCAGCTATTACTTTAGTTAACAACCATAACTCGGAATTGTTCATTTTAAATGTCATGCATTTATGAATTTCAGATAAATTACCTCGTTTCCGTAGCTCTAAGTGTTGTAGATCACCAACGTAGATGATCTGTGTCGAATGATTGGGGACCTATTCGAGTCAGACGGCTAAATGTTGAAGTCAATCCTCACGGTTAATACATAACGTGGATTACTCTTTCGTTGTATCCAGGTACTATGGATACCTCGATGACCGTACAACACAAACAATATTATTACAGAATTGTATTAGTAAGAGTAGGTACAAGGAACAGAGTGCGACTACTGCTGCATGGGCCAGTTCAATTATCTGATAATCATTGACTCGACTGTCGGATGATTTACTTAGGGTTCAGTGACATCTCGATTTGTAGACCGGAGCAAAATCTATTTAGCTTCACATCTCATCAAAAAACTTGTTGAATAACATAAACTGGGATTTCATTAAACTATGTAGTATTCTTATTAAGGTGACATCATAGCGTGCGGAAGATCTTAAGACAAACGTAACGAATTTCTGACTTGTTTCTAGCCCATCAGAAAACAGATTTTAAAAATGGATGGTTAGTGAGGAAGGAAGCATTAATACTGCAAATGGTAAATAGATTTTGCCCAGTTGATTGGTCTATTTATGTTTCCTACAGGTTATTCTGCATGTAAATCCAAACAACAATATATCAGCTCCTCCTAATGGATACAGTGTGTCCGCATTTCCGAACGATTTAAAGAAAAACAAATAGAAAGCGTTATGTTTGTGATAAGAAATGTCATTGATTCGTCATTTTTTATTCCAAATCTAATTAGTCTCTCAAAATTGTAGAACATTGTATGACTGAATTTCGGAAATTCAAACTGGGAAGCCTATCATAGTTAGTTAATTCACTACTTGTTTATTTAGAAAGTTATGGTTATGAGAGCGCGAGTGTTAAGAAAGTTGTCAGTTTTATAACTCCTACGGATTTTCGTTATATACACAATAACTGGAGTTCTGTATTCCTGTATTGCTTGTATTGTTAGCTTTTGTCAGACGCCTCAACTGTCACTCTATATTCTACTATTCCTTAACCATTGGAAATTAACTATCCACCCTCTGTTCCATTCTGTACCACTTTTGTCTTAATCGTATATAAAAACAATTCCCTATTTGATGAGTTATTATCTGACAATTCTTGTGTGAAAATTCATGAATTTTTGAGTTATGATGACATACGGGACCATAGAGAAAATATCTGCTTGCTAACTTCGTCTTCTGATTATACATTGGGTTGGGAGGACCTCGAGGACCAATAGGCGTTAAGATCTAGGTCGTTTTTCGTCGGTCACTGTGTTATTAGTACAGCAGAAAATCATCGATCCTATAGGCGATATAAGCGAAACACTCAGTAAGTGAACGGGATAATTATCTGGCTTTATGTTAGGTAACCTAGCCACGTGGGATTAAAATAAGAAAGTCATTTTTTAATGATTTGCAGGTTATATTTTTAAATAGTAAGGTTTGAGTAAATAGAATACTGTCTTCATTTGCTTAATTATATTGGGAGTCTAATTGCAATAACAGGCAGTTTTATTGATATTAGGTTAAGTGGGACAGATATGCTTAGTGTGGAACAACGTGATATTTTTTACAATTTTGTCTTAGTCGATTCTCACGATCAAACTTAAGGCAGTAAAGTAGATATTGAATCAATGACATCCAGAATAAATAAAAAATACTTTGATCCACTAGAGTTTAGAAATGATAAATTGGAAATTCTGTGCCTAATACCGATATTTCAATATAATTTTTATATCCAGACTTCCTTTACTAAGTTATTTGAAAGTGCCTTATCCTGTGAAGTGCACCACTCATTCGGAAAAACGTTAGTATGTAGCAGAAATTCGAAGTAGAATGCTTACCATCAGAAGAGTAAAATAAAGAGAGGAGGAACGAAAACAAAGAGCAATCGGAATAAGAACGGGATCGGAAGAATGATGAAGTACGTAAAGGACAACTGATAGAACATATGTGAGTGGTGTATTTGATGTACGATTTTCATGTCTTACAAAGGCACTGTGTGATTTTTCATAAAACAGTTAATTAGTTTACCGTACCTGAGTTTGAGTTCACTACAATTCTAATCCACAAATTAAGCAGCTAGCAGGAGGGATCGATTTGGCCTAAAAGCGTTTTGCTAACTGATATACGTTAGACTGTAGAGCGGTCACAAAAGTTGAAACTTTTCCCAACTATCGCCATTATTTCCATGTATTAATACTCTCTAAGTAATGCAAGCGGATTATTCATTTTGTTTAAACATAAATGCTTTTGTGATATGTTATGTTACTGAATAGTAACTAGTAGTTTGACTTTTCTTTGGTCATTTAAAAGTTTCCAAAGTTGTGTATAACAGAATTTTATTAGGCTCTGTTTAACATACACTAGGAAACGTATGTCATGCTGAAAATTCGGCAGGATCACTTTAATTTTATTATGAAAGTATCCATTAACTCGTTTAAATTACAAACGATCATATAATTAGGTAACAATAATTTTTTTGTTCTGCCAAATACCACTGTCACATTTCATATTGGTTCAAGTAAAAAAGCGTGCTGTGAATTTTTTGAGGATAATTTAAAAAGTTAGCAAAAAATGATGATCGGTTTCTATAGTTTTTCCTTCAGGATTGCCAGGAGCAGGTAAAGATAATAGAATTATCTGGATTATAAAAGTACATTGCTCAAACATACCCATAAATGATTATCGGTTGTGCTTGAAATCAGTTATTCACATGAGGATACTGCTGCGATTTTTTAGTTTCTGTTATAGTGTGTATTTACATCATGTTTTGTAATGTGACAACATTTGAAAAATTCATTTTTCAAAGCTAAAGGTTGGTAATGGTCTTAGATACAAGGGTTTTAGGTAATAATATTTTACTCCATAAATAGAGTTAATCTAAAACATCATTTTGAGAGTTTCAGAATAGTTGTGGTCAATAAAATTTATGGCATCTGCGATGTTTCCTCAATGCTAACCTGCAGTACCATATGAATATCAACCAATTTCTGGTCAAATCGCCTTTACTTGAATATCTAATTAACATCCCAAGAGTTGAATCATCTGCTCATTATTTTGAAGCTAATTTTCATTGCAAACTGACCATTTGAAGTATCACTGACAATCAGGAAGCACTGGATTGCCGTTCCTTCTTAACTTGAGAATCCTAAACTGATGAATGCCTGATCTTACACAGCATCGGTTCCAGTACACATAAGTCTCCCAACACGTATTTACTACCTACAATGACTTGTTTAAACCATAGTTTATGTTGCTTACATAACAGTACCTTCCCGGTGGCTGGTTGTCTGTTAGTTAATAACATTTTATTAGTATCATCTACTACTAAGTAGCGATTAACTTAATCCGATCCAGTTTGCAATATGGTTAATAAGCTAAATGATGTCAAAAAGATTACACCTAGTGGGATACGTTGAGAGTTACAGCTTAAGTTTTAAGGATAGTGAAAATTCGTTAATAATCTTCCAGAAAAATGAAGGCAGCTTTAAAAAGTTAGTTTCACCAGCTGGTCATGTGATAGTGCCAAATATCATGTCTAATTACTGGTCCTAACGGAAATCTGATTAACGGGATATATAACGTGGTATGTCATTTCAAATCTACCCTGTTGATGAATACAAACAAACACAACGTAGGTCATCTGTTTTCAAATGCAGAACACCAGGTGCTTTACAGTGAATAAGGTTTATTTTATTAAAAGCCTTTTTTTCCCTTTCCGTGGATTTAAAAAGACGTAACATATATGGTTTTTAGTATAAAAGATGAATCACAGTATCTGACAGCGGATATTTTTTTCGGATCCTTCTATCAGTCGTGAAAACAATATTCATATCAAGCGTTAATATACAAAAGAAAAGTAAAATCGAGTTATCTCATAATAATTTCTTGGCCATCAACATTTATTTCTTCAATTTACTTACTAGTAAAATTAAATAAATTTGTGAAATTTATTCACATTTATTGGTTGACTTGTTAGTAACGTAGTACTTAAAATGTTCGTAAAATTATGTATTAAAATATAGATCTGTTGAATTTATTATGGAAATTAAAATCAAACATTTGACCTTTTATTTAATAGTCAAAAGCAGTGTATTTTAACCATTAATTAAGTGAAATTATGTCCGAAAGTTAGATGTAATATTTACATAAATGCCAAACGCAACTTCACACTTTACTAATGAATGTTAAAATAAGAAACACCACAGACTCAGGTATGTTTGTTTACCCTTATCATATTCGAAATCTAAAATGTCTGACTAATGGTAGCACACATGTCTATCCACTACCAAGGTTATTAACTTAACATCTGATTGGCTAATTTATAAGTGCTATATTTTAAATTTAGCCCGTAACCACCCATCATATTTTAAAATGATGGGAAAGTACAGACTAGACGCTTAGTTATCCAACAACCTACCATGAGGAATCGTGGATTACTACGCTTTATTTTTATTTTCCTGTTCTATATCTTCATTTGCAGTAAGCATTATAAAAAATGTTTTGTCTCAATTCACAATTCCCTAGTGTTTTTTTATATTAAGGAGTTGATTGTTTCTAATAAATTTCTGTTTATGGTCTCAACGTAATAACGAAATTATGTCAACTATTTAGGATACCTGCCATGATTTTAAAACGTGAATGGGTTTAATTTACATTCATATGCTTGTTTCTGAGCTTTTATTTAGATATTTTAGGTGAAATTATACACTTGGTTTTTACTGAATTGGAATTCATTTTATTCTTCACATAATTCATCTAACTGAATCACGAATTACTCAAATGTTTGTCGCAAATCGGCTTTGGGACGGACATGACTGTAACAAAAATAATAAAAATATTGGATGTATATCACGCGGTTAAATATGTGTAGTGTTTACAGTATGTGTTTGTTTAGCCTAGATCCAAAAATAACTCAGATGTCATATTTATTGCTCGGCTTTGGACAAAAGATATAATTCTGAGAACTACCAGGTAGCTAGATAATAATACATAGATTTTAACATTAATTCTTCTGATCCAAAGAAACCCTTCGATTATATCGCACATGATTATCTCTATCATTGTGTAAAGAAACATGTATTTAGAATAAGGGTATTTCAATACCAGTTTAATAGTTGAGAAGCCCATTAAAACTACAGATTTATTACCAAGTGTAATTTTATATGCTTATCTTTCAATTACCGTGACTTTGAAAATATCTGAATAGCTGAAATCTGATGTAGTTAGCAGGGATGATGGCATGACGCGCGTTTCGTTTTATTTGGGACTCGTCAGCTGGACGTACCCACATCCAAGTTAATATTCACTCTGGGACTCGAACCCAGTACCGTTCTGTCGAAACGTCAGCGCGTTATCCACTTAGCCACTGAGTCCAGATAGCCGTTAGCTCCTCCAATGGACTGAAGTTCAGTTAATTATAAGCACAGATGATGGTGACTTGTGACTTAAGGCAATATCGAGGCAATCATCATAGGATGCATATATGTCAATAAGAGACTGATCAATTACAATCCTAAAGATCAATGTTAAAATTCAAACAACCAGTACAAAAATGAACACTACACTTAAGTTGAAATCAAACTGTAAAGGAAATTGGCTTTAAATTTATTGAGACTTTTAGTTGCATGTAATCAGATCATATCTCCGAAGTTTTCTGTTATACCCAAAAAACAATGCTGAAATACATTTCCCTACAGATTATCTAATGAACATTTCTTATGAAATATAGAATTGATTCTGATGAAAATAAATAAATATTGGTGCTGATTTTATCTAAATGAATTTCAGCAGTAATTTAATTTACCGTTGAGTATACCAAATAGAAAGACTAAAACTACAATTTTAGATGAAAATTTCAATGCTAACAAGAATATAACTTCTAATTTTGTAGTTATTCTTTCTTCAGCCAAATAGTCTACGGGAATTAAACTATTGGGATGAAACGTATTAGATTATTAATTTCAAGTTAAATCATCTTTTGTGGATGAGGAACTAACTGTAACTAATTATGTTTTCTATCAGATGTGTTACGAATGCCTGAACACTGATTACCACGACGTGCAATGCTAACCGGTGTTCCTGATGGTTGGAAGAAAGTTAGGGGCGGCCAAACCAAGACGTGGCATCAGTGCTTGAAGTCACTAACTACTAGTCTGAGCCATGTTGGTAGGTGCAGACTATTTTGTTAAGGTCCGTGTGACCATCTCAAACAATGGTTGAAGACTCTGGGTGATATGTCTCAGAATCGACCAGAATGGAGTTGGTGTATACACTCTCTGTCTTCCCTTGAACTATGAAATTGAAACTGCTTTACATCTTCCTTTCTGCCAACTAATCCTTTGTTCTTGTACTATATCCTTATATGCAATCTTTCTTTTATATATTACCACCACTGAAGTGACTACTATGAATCCGGTGTTCATCTTGTTGTGCTAATGAGGTATGGCAACTTGGACCGATGCATATATGTGCCCGGTCCTACGTTGTAGCTGGCTGACTGACTAATCAGATGTAACACTATACATTAGGAATTGGATATTCTATTTCTAATAAGCATTTGATAATTTGTATATTTCATGCGATTACTTAGAGATGCAAGTAAAATGCAATTCAAAAAATTGTAAATTGCCATGATAGAAATAATTCATTCTTTTCCGTATGACTAATCGCAAAAGACATATTAAGATAGATGATAATGTGCTTCTTTTTTGATGATTTCAATAATTGAGAATTACTCTTAATCATCTATTTAGTAGACTGGAATATTATTCTTACCAAGTCATTTCAGGTGGATTCCGACAGCCTTTCTAATTTACAAGTGAAAATACCTATAAACTGAATAGGATAATTATTTAACATCATGGTAAGCAAATAAACATTTTGTTTTACAGAATCTGGATCTACACAATCCGGTTAATGAAAATGTTGCAAAGTTATTATTATCTACTTCCAGAATTGCAAAACTTTTCCATACTTCATATCCCACTGAAGAGTAGTTAGTTAGAACACTGGTAGCTTAGTGGTGCATGCCTTTATTTTCTGTCTCTCACAATATTTCTTAAGGAATAGTAGACAATTGTGTATTTGATCAATGAACTGAACAGATTTTTGTTTAGCTCGTTGTTGCCGATCTGTGTCATAAATTAATTATCTGAATCCTATCAAGCTTTCGAAATCATAACTAACTCGAAGCTGGTTGCGTAGATCCTCATATTTGCGAATTCACGAATTCTTGTTGTTTAAAATAAACTCCAAATTTAATATTTATTACTTAGATAAATGTAAGAATTCTAGTCGCAAATGAGGATGTTGATAAAAACTATATCACAACATGGTGTTCAAGTGTTTACTGTAAAAGTAAGAAAATTATTTAGTAACCCAAATCAGTAATCTTCTGATATAAACCAAAAATTTTACCACCACAGGTTATTAAATACGATCTAATGTCTTCTAATTTTTCATTACGGGATACTTTATCAGTACGTTGAAATTGTATTGGAAACAAGTCACCACAACGACTACTATATAGGGTTTGTTGAGACTATAGAACTTTATGATTTTATTTGAATCATCGTTGAAAACCTGGAAGCACTGGATGGCCGCTTCGTCATCGTATGAGGCTCATAAGTGGTGTATATCCACAACCTCACATCCAGGATTTAGACTCAGTGGCTTCAGTCCTTTACACGAACGCTTAACCTCCAGGTCACCGAGCCAACATTCAACGGTTGAGACTAAATGATACGATTGATCGGTTGTCAGCTTCATTTTCACTAATGGTTGGATGACTAAACTAATCTAATTATTTTTAAAATTTACTACTTAGTAATTAGTGATCGTACAATTTTATAATTATAATAAATAACAATACTATGTCACGGTAGAGAGAATTTTTAAACGGTCACGATTACATATCAGATACACGATCACTCTTCCCGCCTTGGGAATATTTTTATTCTTTCAACAAAACTATAGATCCAAGCAATTACTAGACGCCGTTCGTATAGCACATATGTTCTGTCAGTGTTTTAACATGTTTATACCATTTAAGATTGTCGAATTAAATGTAATCTTTTGTCATCATAATGAGGGTTTGCGGAGGTTGTTGTAATTTTAATAGTTAAATTCATGTTAGTGTTCCAATTAAAAATCTGGAATTTCTGAATCTCTTCAAGTGATAAACGATTATCTAAGAGGCTACAGTTTCAAATAACTAATCTAAGCTCATTTGATATTAATTGTTCACAAAATTTCTGAAATCACTATTCGTTCTTAAATGATTTATCTCAGTCCATTAATATCACTATCGTTTATACTTTTAACGAAATACCTAGTATTATTACGAACACTACGACATCTTGGGATACGAGTAAATTCACCTCGAAATCTTCAAGATCCAAATAGTAACGGACAGCTAATCATTTTAAATAATCCTGTACTGTCTAAAGTATAAAATAATAAGTCTACATGTCAGCAGGAACTCGTAATACCAATATTATTTTGACTGTTGACATAGTAATAAACTCCAGTAATACACATTATTTTACTGATATATTTAGACAGATATATTACTTTAAAAAATCACTTATTACTAATAAAGAATAATGTGTATGCAGTAAAATGACCAACGTTTAGCTACACTGTTGTCGCATGTACAATAACTAATAAAGAAGTAAGCTTAATGGAAGGATAATGTTTACTGGAATATATTGAAGTATATCAAAATACATTAAATTTTAATCATTAAGTAGTAGGTGGAAGTTTTCAAAACTCAATTACATTGAATTTTAATTTCTAAATATTAGTATTTCCAAGGCTCGTTATTTTAGAACAGAGCACTGTTACTAATAAATATCTATTCATTGTTAAAAATGTAAATAATGTACATAATTATAAAGTATATAGTTCATCAATTGATGTGTGACTCAGAACAGTTGAAATTGTCAAAACCTTATCGCTAAATTAATATTAATTAAAAGGTTTGTTTTCTAACAATGGAAAGTTGCATTCTGAATGTGAAATGGCTTTTTATGTTTGGTTGTACGTTTTTTCTATCTACGCTTTGACAGCGACATCTGAATTACATCATTAGATTCTAGTCATTAAATGATGTAGTAGATGTGTCAAAATTTTTAAAACTTCGTTTAGACATTTAACTCCAAAGATGTTATTAGTGAAAAAAGGGAGCACTATTTCAGTCCACTCACCTTACTGAATATGTCAATCATTCCGTCACAAACAAAATAAGAATTCGAGAAAATATCTGTTCGATCAAACTGTCGTACTTTATATTACCATGTAGTGTAGTAGTCAAGTAAATTTAAGACAAAAAATGACGTTAGGATATAAACTGTAGGATGAATATGGTTCAAAGGGAACGAATGAGATCGAGAATAAAAATTATGAATTATTGAAAAAATTCAAGGTGTAGGGGACAATAAATGGTACATACATCTACATCGTTGTCACCAACTACGGGTCATGTATTTTCAAATATATTGATCATTGGGTAGAAAGTCAATAATAGATATATCTTTTGTGATATCCCAATTAGCAGGAAGTTGTATCTCTGACGTTTCGTGCCTCAATGTAAGCCACTTCTTTAGAGTAAATACGTCTATTTATCAATGAAACGCATATTTATTATTATGGATCATGTAATTCAGTGTATCGAACCAAAGGTTGCAATTAACTCGGACTTCTAACGATAATGTCTACGTTTTCCTGAATGAGTTGAACTGACAGTTAGTGACTTCATTTAATAATGCAACATTTCGACCTAGCTTCGTTTAATCACCTTTGTATATATATTTACCGTAATAACAAGCGTATCATGTTGGGGTAATCGATGACTAGGTATGTGTAACATATGCCTCAACCACCACAGTTGGTCAAATTCACATCCTCGAGCAATTTCATCTTAATCCATTTGATGAGTAATAGTCTTAAGGCAACTAAAATTAAAAGTCTAGCATCAACTGAATGTTTTCGGTCATACAGTACAATATGAAGTGAACTGCTCTGCACCATACCCCTCATTTGATAGGTATTTGGATATCTTATCTGCTCCATTGGTGATCTGAACTAAAATGAGCCACCCAAGCATTTTGTAACTGTAATATCTAATCGAATTCATATCTCATTTCAAGTAACTAAACATGTTTCGAGAAAAAAAACTAGAAATTTATTTATGTAAATACTTAATCATTGACTTTCAGAATACAAACTCTGTTATTTACCACCTAGGTTAAAGAAATCTAGGAAGAAAAATATCATTAAGCTACATATATGCATATATATACATATACATTATACTTTCTTGATTGTTATGTCGATAAATTTCTTTTGTTAATAATTTTCAAAGTGAATGATAAATAACCTCTTGTAAACTTTTTTGAAAATAGTGAGGACAAGTTTCTACTTTATTTTTGTACATATGAAAAAGTAATGATGACTATTACCTTAGCATTTTTTACTTGCCTTGAAAGACAACCATAATTAAATAAGACAAGTCAGTACCAGTTAGTTATTTCAGCAAAAAGGACATATGTTGTTTGTTTTAGTAACGATATGTGTATGTACACTAAGTAAATAATTTCCGTTACTACGATAATGATGAATGATTATAAGTCCAAACTTGTTTAAATTTTGATTTACGACCTCATATTCCATTTTTTTTATGTAGATACACATTAAAAGTCACATCAGTTTCATACATTTGATTTCCAACAAAACATGTAGCCATCTCCAATGCCCAGTTTAAGCGAATTATTAATGAAGTTAGTTTCTATAAGAAAATCAAAAATTCACAAATGCTAAATGTACCATACTGGTTAATTTTGTCAACAATAAAATTAGATTTTGAATGATATAGTCTTTTAACAACATTTATTGTCACAGGTTGAAATCATGAGTCAGTTGAAGCTAGACCACCATTGAAAACCTGGAAGCACTGGACGGCCGTTTCGTCCTGGTATGGGACTCCTCAGCAGTGCGCATCCACGATCTCGTACTGCTGAGGAGTCCCATACCAGGACGAAACGGCCGTCCAGTGCTTCCAGGTTTTCAATGGTGGTCTAGCTTCAACTGACTCATGATTTCAACCTGTGAAAATTTCTAAAACTCTCCACAAAACCCATTCTGATAACATTTATTGTGTTGATTAGATTAGACTGAGAAACAGTTTTAACAAAGTAATGTGGCAAAACTTTGAAGTCAATGTAAAGCTATCTCAAGTTATTATTTTATGTATTTGTATTGGAAAATGTAAGCTAACTGGCATTTTAAGCAGAGATAGATGGCGGTTAGCAATGGAATTAAGGATGTGCTTTTTGTTCTGGATGTACATGCATTCTAGTGTCCATGTTTACTCCGGGAATCATACCCATCACTGTTACCCTCAAAAGCCATCATGTTATATACTTAGTTACTGACTTAAGGTAATACCGAGTCAATCCCTACAGGATGCATATATGCTAATAAGATACGGATCAATTGCAGTGCTAAAAGTTAGTGGGAAGATTTTAAAAAATCAATACAACAATGAATTAACATGTATTTTATTTAAAAATAAGGAATCCTATCAAAAATGGTTCCAAGTGAACAGTTAGTTAGCTATATGATACACAGATGTTTTTTCTTGATGAATTAGAATGAACGTAACTCAAAAATAAAAAGAGTGCCAAGTTGTGAAAAATATCTACAGTTAATGAGATAATGAGATCACTCTGTGAAATCGATAGTTTTTTGAAGTTATATTCTTTATTGGCAAACTAGTCTTAATTTTCAAGGCAAATCCAATCGTTAGGTGACATAACTAATCTAAATGATTCGTTTAATTAATGATAGTAACGCTAGTGACACTTCTAGAGTACATTTAAACCTCGTGATATATGCCAATTAGAAACTTTGAACTGCCAACTCCATAAGACATTTTCGTGCTTAGTCCATGGATTTTGTGTTGGTAAAATTCATTCAGTACTGTGATTTGCAGTAGATGTAATTAAAACCATCAATAAACCATACCTCTTCAAAAATTACTCATGTAGTTCTGAGGTTTATGGAAATAAGCTGAAGTTGATCTTTGTCGAAAATTGATACCACTCGGAGAAACATTGAAAACTGGGGAGTATCAGATAACCGTTTTGTCTCTTAATATGAGATTCCTCGTAAATGGGCATTTAAAAGTCCGTCTGAGATTAAACCTACAACCTTTAGGTTTCGTTAATTGTTGATCAGTAAATTGAAATCTATTGCTGCACATTTTTAACGTAAATAAATGCAAGATACAGCTCAGTATCATCCAATACCATTAGTAAGCAGTCTTCTCATTTCCAACATCGTCGGATTATAACATTCACTGTATCATACAAGAATTTTGGTAATTCTTGCTGAAAGCAATCACTAATTGGCACACTACCAATGTTTAATTTCGAGGTTGTTTTTATCCTTTTCATATCATATCCTTTTGTATGCTTAGCGCCTAAATTTCTTTTTATCATCCTTGATACACAATTTAGTTAAGTAATTTGATATCGTTTTAAGAACTCCATCATATTAAAAGACTAATATTTGAACGAAGTATATTCTTTTCGATAAATTTTTCTCAGGTCCTACAATTATATATCCAAATTAATAATTCGAAAAATGACCAGCCTAAGGGCAGAGTACGTCGTTTAAAGCATGTGAATTTAGGATTGTCAAACAAAATAGAATAAAATTAATGTTGATATATTAAAGATTCCCATTGTACAAATTAGAACAACACACATAAGCGAACAATTGTTTTCAACTAGATCGTCATCAAGCTTTACTCTAATATACATCAATATTTATACGGAAATGTTCAACCAATCAAGGCAATTCGGGTTAATAATCACAATGAAATAGGATAAGTCACCACACATAATAGGTAAAAATACAAGTTAATAGTAGTAAGACAGATGTACTGATAGTAGTAGGAATAATAAATACGATAACAAAAGTCTTATCAATAGTTAAACATTTGAAATAGAAGGTCAAACGTAGGTAAATAGATTTAGAGTAGTCATCGCATAAAATTAAAATCATTACGTAATAAGAAGTGTGTAAATGATTAGATAGTGAAGTATACAAACGGAAAGAGGCGGAAAATTACAAACAAACAATGGATGTGAAAATAAGGGTAATGGCAACAAAAATAAAGTAAATAATAACAATAAAAAAGGTCATTTGTTAAGTTATAACTGGCCATGGAAGGGATAGGGGGGTTACGAATTTCTTCTGTACACAGAACTTGGGGTTATATGTATGGATTCCTATGGCTTTGGCTATATGTAGGAGGCAAGAACGAACTCCGTTGAGAAATGATGGAGCTATACGATAGATCACTCGAAATGCTTCCGATTTATCGACAGTATGACCGCTATCAATAAGATGTGTCAAGATAGAACTGCATATTGTTTTTTATGGCCCCTTATAAACTAAGCTAGCAGATGTTCACTCATTCGTTAGTTAAGTTGCCTGGTAGTACGCCCGATATAGCTATCTCCACGGGAGCAACTGAATATGTAAATGTACATTAAGGAGGCCAACTCAGGTAACTTATCCTTCGTTTGAGTAGACATCACTAGTCGACTAGAGAAGGTCAACGCAAGACTGGCTGCGTAGAATGTCCTTCTAATTACTCTCGTTAACCTATCTTTCAGAGTATCACTAGCCACATCAGCGGGGATTGCACAAGTAGTAATAAGTGTACTTTTTTGTGTAGTTTCTTTTAAATATGCTGTCTAATTATGACAATGAACAGTTTTTTTGTTAGTCAGTTATTACCATAAAAACAAAAATTAGTAAACTGAGCTTCAGCTATTTCGATCTCATTAATATATTTGATAGTCGTATAGGTAGTTACGATTGATTTTAATTAGTTTCTCAAGTATTTGCAAAGACCCACTGATGAATGACATTCTATTTTATTAGATTAGATAAAACTGTAAGATTTTGATCGCTCTATTAAAACGAACTACCTTGGATTGATCATGATCGCAGTAAAAGTGAGGGTATTAGTCTATATGTAAGAGAATTTCTACAATATGTGTCATTCTGAGTCTTGAAACCTGGTTTGCAATGGTTCTTCGATAGATAACGTCAAGTAGACAAAATGTCTATTTGTTCACTGTATATGAAATACGTATTTACTCAAAGTTATGCAAAGTTTTATTTAATAATATCTACATTTATGAAACCTATCTTTTTTCATAAAAATACTCATAAATAACTTGTAGAATCTACATGCAACAGTTTTGATGTATGTTCAACTAACCCATGCCATTCAAATGGATATTGCATTTCTTATGAAAATGGAGGATTTCATTGTCGATGTTCACAAGGTTGGACGGGTGATGATTGTTCTGTAGATGTTGATGAATGCCATTTAAGTTCGACAAATCCATGTGAACATAATGGCGTTTGCATTAATTCAGTAAGTTGATTTATTAAAATTTCATATATAATTCATATCTTAATGGATTATTGGTTTTATAACTCATTATAAGTTAATTTCGTCGCATTTGTTTAGAGTGTTTCTTGATGCAATATCAATGTCGGAGTTTTACATGTAGAATTACTTTAAAAAGATTGGTTGTTGTCTCTTTACAATAATTTACTTATCATTTAAAGAAATCCGTACTGTACTAGCGATTAAAACAAGTTACATGATCATCTCACTAGCTAACAATAGTAGATGTTCGAATATAAGAAGGTTACTTCATAAACTTAATACATCAAATAGATCTAAACAATCCTTGATACCAACAGTAGCAATAGGATTCAGCCTGAAAATATAACAACTTTCTGACTTTGAGCAATTTACATGTGATTCATATAAGTATAGTCAAACTATCGTTATAACGATTACCAAATACATAAATACCACTGATCATTTCCAAACTTTTGTTGTACTGCCAAGATATTTTAAACCAAGATTAAATCAAAGTTCAAAGCTCCGTTTTCAAATGATTCTTTAGTTTATTTTGGTTGTCAGGCGATTGGAAGTAGTCACCTGAAAACCGTTGAATAGGGTTTTGTGTTAGTTACTACACGATGTTGAGTCACTTAGACTAGTGGGTCACATTGCAACTTGATCGATAGAAGTTGATGGGCCACCAAAAAACTAGACAAATATAACATTGGTGATCTCATTTCAATTTAATAATGAAAGCCATTTTTGGTCTACACAAAAAATTTTGTCGGTGTAAATCGTTAGTTGACTGAGTTAAACTCAGCTATTGATACCGCTTTTTTTGTTACATAGAAATATAAGTTGGATAACCCTAGAGGATTTATAGGGCATATTAGAAGGTAAATGATAAGTAGTCATGAACGAAATTTCTGTATCATTCTAAACTGTCATATTTTATTAATTGTGCAGCTACCTGTCTTTACAAAACAAATTAAAAACTCATGAAAAAGATTTTGTGTCATCAAACAATCGAGAGTTTAATTAAATTAAGTATTTCTTTTGTTACTGGTAGATTTCCTATAAAATATTTCAACAGGCCATCGTATAAAATGGACTGTAAAACAAGGAAAGAAGTTTTCATGTTTATTTATTTCACTTAGAAAACACGTCATTATAGTTATTTCTGTCGTATCTGTTCAATTCTATCTAACCGACTAGTCATAATCTTTCGTAATTATTGTATTGGGTACATTACTTGACATTTTGTTTATTCAGAAAAATACAATCATGTATCATACATACGAAACAAAGAATGACATTATATGAAGTCCAAATAAATTAATCATATTTTGCCACGGGAAAAACATCAAAATCCGGTAAAATTTTATTTTTTACAAACTTATTCTAATCTTTCAAAATCGTTATTACAGTAAAGGCACATTTGTGTGTAACTGTTATACTGACGAATATAAAACCGTTTTCATTAAGTTCGATTGGTTTTAAAGCGGTAATTATGGCTTAAAGTAAATCTCTACCATGATAACACTGATGTTAATAGTGCTCAGATGGTGATTGCTATGAAAAAACTTTTAGAGATCATTCAATTCGCTGATAATTTACACTACTGACTGATTTTAGGTAAAAAAAAGCATTTAAACTACCTTTTATTGTAAACGATTCCCCGAAACCCTTAGTTCTAATAATTAGTCGGTTACTTACTAGTAATTAACTTCAATAAATATCACCTGAGAGCTACTGTGAAGTGATGACCAGTCGATTTCAACTAAGTAGGATGTGAGATGATTATTACCAATGATAGCAGTCAATGACGATAATATTGTGAACCGAATAAAGTTGAAAATATGGACCATTAGATGACAACCTTAATGGTATAAAGACAAATCTTTTGGTTTTAGGCCAGAATAAGCAGTGATTTTTGTCCTTGAAGGGATTGTAGTTGCATACTGTTGAGTAATCCCATAGTAAAACAAAAAGCTATCCAATGTCAATAGGTTCTCAATGGTTATCTGGTTAGAATAATGTAAATTTTATACAGATGATTATTTATTCTTTGGTTATTCTGTTCCATTTGGCTTAGACTCTTATAAAACAAAATTAAATTGGAATTTATAGACATGACGCTTAAAAATATGAATCATATTTTGGGTGATGTGTGTTATGTTAATTTATCTGAATGTTGATTGAAGCAACTCAGTTAATTCTCTTAAAATCAAGCTGACCATTAGTGTAGTTTAAGTTTGTTGTGGCGTCACATGATGCAAGTGACTACCACTACCAACAATAATTAGATTTATAGTCAATTCTTAATTGTCACTTCTTCACTCAATCTTCCTTCGGAGTTACACCTTTTCTAAGTTGATTAAATCTAAAATTCTGAGGAAATTTCTAAAATGAAAAATGAACAGTATGAATGTTATCTGTAAATGCTCTAGTTTTAATCTGAAGGATCCTTTCAATAAAAGTATTCTTGCAAGCTAATTCAGTTTACGTTTATTAACTTCTCTACATTTCGACACACTTTTTCCGAAGTTAATCATGTATACCTATTATGATTAGATTAACTGTCATTTACTAATTAAGAGCCTAGAGATTAAAGTTTTCTAGACTCAATTAATCCAGGAAACAACATATCCATGGAGGAGGTTTTTGAAGATTGTTGAATTTTATAATTTACATCACAAACTGATCTTTGACAACCAGTGAAAACTAGGGAGCACTAAACGGGTATTTCATCCTAGTATGAGAAACAACAGTAATGTATATCCATGACTCCACTAGAAATGAAACCAAGGTCTTTAAGGTCTCATGACGAACATTTAAACTTTGGATGGTTTTGGAATATCACGAATCGATTGGACTTGGAAGTGTAAGCCATTGCATGATAACTCATTAGTTCGAAGGTCAAGTGTTCACTGATAGGCCTGAAAGTCTGATCTCAGCTGTTCAGTGATTCATAGTTTCCAATGTTTGTCTAAGATAAGTTTATGACAAAAACTAAAAAACAGCGTATCAATTGTTGTCAGCAGGTATTTATATTCTTTATGTAAATCGTCCAGAATATAACGTTTGTTATTCAGATATTGGATTAGTTTATTAGCCAGTAACGATTAGATTTCTGATTTCCCAATTACTTAATTGAGCAAAATCTGTTGGACGATTCGAGGCTTTAAAAATGACTATCCAATCAGTATTCTCTAATGATATCAGTAGGTGAAGAGAAATTTATATATAGATTTAAACCGCTAATTGATTGACCAGCTAGTAAATAATTGCTATTCTTCAAAAATACTTACCCATAATCTTATAGATGACATGATCCAGAGACCTTAGATCTCATAAAGAGAACTTGATGCCTTTAAATCACTGAGTTATAAAAATGTCAGTAGTCTACATATTCATGTTCAATCATTTTGTGATACATTGCGATCCTCATTCCATATATCACTAGTATAAAACTAACATCTAATCATTAGAATAATACGTAAATGCATGTGCATACGTTTTTTTACACGTTCAGATGTAATTAATCATTTTTGCTTACAAATATAAGTAAAATACCTTGTCTATGAACCAAACATGTGAACTAGATTTCACCTAAACAATACTTTTTTCACTATACTGTTTTTAAATAACAATTTCGACATTTTCAAAATATATGCTAGTATCATCTACAGTTACTTATAAAATAGATCATATACCATGAATTCGTTTATTCGGTTTTTAAACTTAGTTATACATCCAAATGTAAATGTCATAGTCAAATAAGATTGTTGGTACATTTAAAAAATTAAATACGTAATTATTACTGTTTATACATCTGCTCCCTACATTCATTAGATTTGAAGTAACCCTGTCTTATTATGATGTCCAAATCAATAATCGACGAATTATCAATTGTTTGAACTTTAAACTAATCCACAAATATACTCGTAAGATAAGTAAACTTTAGTTTCGAGATTGACTGATTGACTGTTCGTCTGAGCAATATTGATGAGTACAGACTACCTGGTTGATGTCGGTGCGATAACGTCCATTGGTGGTTAGGGATGGCGTAAAACATGACTTGGTTTCATATAGTCCTTGTTTTACTCTAAATCTTGAGTTATAATGTTCTTTTATAAACATCTTTCTATTCTGACTTTTTGAATTACTCTTTTGATATTTATCTCTTGTGATTATTATCGCTACTACATCATTTTTTATTCTTTTATTAATCCTCTTGTTAATTTTATATTGTTGTTCTACTATGTTATAATACTTTGGGTTAACACACATTTGTGTCAGGCCCTAAGTTGTTTACGATTAACCAACTGATGTAAGTCTTACTTTCAATTATTTCGTATTAGAACAGGTAAAAGTCTCTAAGTTCTCTCTAGTTTTCCATGGCTTTCCAGTTTATATCACTCAGTGATGAAAACAAACTACAGCCTAATTAATTACTGATGTGAAACAAATTAATTCAAATGTTTTTATACTGGAATTAAGTCCATTAACAAGTATAACTCAAGTTCTTAGGGAACTTAAAACCAAAACTGTCTTAACGCTGACTCAATGTATGTCATTAAGCTAACTATCCGTCTTGATTATTAGATAGCATGATTGTTCAGATTTTCTTACGAACAGAGTCCTAAATAGGGTTCATCAAACTAAGAATTAACAAAATAACCGAAATTGAGCAATTTCATATATTATCTTAATCTTATGGATATTAATTATTTACAAGTGGACAATAAGATAACTGTTTTGTTTTATTGTTAAGTTTACTTTAAGCTGTGTTAGGTGGTTGGAAGCGAATAACTGAAGTTTCTTTGAATCTATGTCTCATGATAATCGGTACTAAAGGATCTGAACTTCACAACTAGTTAACATCATGCTCAATGCAGAAATAGAAATGTCCCAAGATCTGTGCCTCATGAGTGAGGTGGTGATGAATCTTGGACTAGAGCAAAACAGTTACTCAGTACTCATTGGATTCGAATGATTTACTCTAGTTGATTTCTATTCTTGATGAAAGGTTGACCACTATACTATATTTTTTTAAATCCTTACAGCCTGGAGGTTATCAGTGTTTATGTCCACCTGGATATCATGGATCAAGATGTGAGGATGAAATTTTAGAATGCGCATTAAATCCCTGTAAACATGATGGAACATGCATAGATTTAATCAATGGTTTTCAATGTGTCTGTCCACTTGGTAAGCATACTATTATTATTATCACCATTAATATTATCACTATTATTGGGACGTAGTACTCATTTTAAATTGATCTCATTTGAAATATAGTGGTATGAGACCACACATCAGAGCTTAACCATACTAGAACGAAAAACCTTTTCAGTTTGACTTGGTTTTTAGTGGTCTCAAGTCAATCCTTGACGAATGCTATCTATAAATCAAAATAATCTCCTCAGTATCTTCATCAAAACTACTGCTCTTAATTATCACTGTTACTATTATTATTTTATAATTTACATCACGGGATGATCTTAGTTAAGTGAAAATTAGGGACCAGAAAGCACTAAACAGATCTTCCGCTCAGTTTGGGTCTCTAAGACAGTGCACATCCACAACCCTTTAGGGAGTCAAACCAAAATCTGTGGGCCTCACAGTTAAAGCTTGGCTTTCAGACCATTGGGTTGGCATGCAGTGGTTTTCATTCCTAAGTTCAAACATTTTTCGATGTTGCTGAATTATGCCCTACATAGCTGAACTCCATCAGTCACAGTTTTTCATTAGAACTCCATGAATTATATCTCAAAATTAGTCATAGTGAGCCTACTTGGTGGTCTAAATGTTCTGCGCTCCCTGTCTTATTTCAAAGGTTTGATCCGTGGTGTGGTCATAGATTCTCACTGATATAGACTCGAAACTTTTATATAATGCTCCGTGATTTTCATTAGAACAGCAACTGATGTTAATCCACCTACAAAGTGGATTATTGTCATTTCAATCCGGAACATTATTGTGTCATATTCTACTCTAGCTATATGAAGTTTAAAAGTGCGAGTATTTGATCGAACAATTTGTATTGAATAACTTCATAATTATTTTGTTACGATGGATAACATGTTTAGGACCTACATAGAAAGAGCTATGATTAATTTAGTATACAACTTACAAGATAAAATCTCTAAATCTCTAGACGATAAGATTACACAATAAATTAAGTACTTCTGTATAAGATCTAGAAAACGTTTAAATAATCTGTGACCAAACAACCGTTTTTCAATATTTGTTGTCATTTTATTCTGGTCAGTAATGATAAAAACTATTCTCTTTTTACTGAACATCCGGTTGGTCTTAGTTCCATTTAAATTTTATATGAATATATGGAAATAAAGTGTGCGGAATTAAATTGTTTCACCTTTTTAAAATCATATATTTACAACTTTCTACACTCACGTACTTTAATGGGTCTTTTTTAACGGATCAATTAGTTGAAGGTAGACAAATAGGATACAGATTGTTTTTTCCTCTAGATTCTCCATTAAAACTATAAGAAGATGAAGTGATTCACTCATTCATTCATTCACTGACCCATTTAAGTATCAAACCGGATATACAACACGTCGTGTCAAATTCTTCAACCTTTTGTCATTTCCTCTTAGAATTCCTTCTTATTTTGCTCAACATTTTAGTTAGATAAATGCTATTTGCACAAAATAAATGCACACACACATGTGTAGAGTGTATAGTAGATAATATTGGTTCATGTTGTTTTATTCTCTCATCTAATTTCTAGGTTGATTTATAAAATTATTAAGAATGGAAGTGTTTATATTTGTTTGTATTCTTTTCTTATTTTTTAGTCTCGATTGTAAGAATTTCCCTTAAGTTAATTTGACCGATTTCGGTCTTTATCGACCGTTTGAATATTGGTTAATAGAACCATCATAATAATTAATCATATATATGTACATACATGTAGGCGTCATACTTCCTATATTATTACATAGGATACAGTGTATAAATCATGTTACTTTCTCAGCTCTATGCGATTGAAATAATGAAAACACTTAACTGATTAGCTTGAGGAAAAAAGATTATTTTATAAGATGATATTTATTATTGAACCGATTAAATACAAAACTAAAACGGTACTCTGCCAGTATATCCCCGGTTTAGTTAATACATCTGCATACACTTACTACTTCTTTATTTTGAAGTATTATGAAATATGAACTTCATAGTAAATGATTAATATTTAAGTCAGTCTTATGCAGTGATTAAAGTTGCCATACTTCATTAGCACAGTGAGATAAAATTGTCAGGTGAATCCAAGATACGTAGAGGTATTAAGAGCATTAGTGGTAATGAAAGAGAATAAGCACCAAATATGCGATTCGAGAAAATGTGGATTTGTGAAATCAAAAAAATTATATGGTAATTGATTAACTTCAGATCTAACTAAAGACAAGGGGTGAATGCACCTGCACTACTGTGGATGATTCAGAGGAATGTCATCCAACGTATCTAACCAGTGATCTCACTTATCCCACGGACCAAAACCTGGTAGTCGCCACCTACTTAAATGGAACCATTCGACAGTCAGTGTCTTCATGGAGTGATGTGATGTCTTTGTAAGACCGCCTCCAGCTTGTTTATAACTTACTCACACACGATTCATCGTCGCGCGTCGACGTAATTGGTGGATGGAGATATGTAATACATATCCTAACTAGCTAAGTCGATGAAGATTCTCTATTTGGTCAATTGATTTGCCATCCTTACCTTGTAATGCGAGTGTAACCTCGGAGTTGCTATGTTGATGGTCCCAACATACATGAGCAATAATGAGAAGGGATCTATTATCGAATACCATTAACCTGAAAATTTCCCCTATTTTTAAGTCTACGTTTCACAGCTATAAATTTGAACTGTTGAGCTGTAAATTCGTCCCTTGAGTGGCTAAAGTCGCTCAATCCCTTTAAATACGTGGTAGCATTTCATGAGACACCAACCTGACGGACATGATTAGACTTCCAATATAAGTGGATTGGTTGGCGAGATCAACCACTTTACTCCGTATTACTAGTATAGGTGTTGACGCCGACCAGTCCTAAAACAACTTCTCTCATTTAGAAGCAGAGATTAACATCACAAACATCTTATCGTTGTTTCTCAAGGCTGCAAGAAGATTGGATTTTGTTAGCGTCTTCAACAAACAGGGATGTATCATCTTTTTTTTGTTGGGATATCATCTCAGTATTCTAAGTTAATAAGTGTATCTCCTGGTAGATGGCTTCCTAAAACGTTAAACTACGTGAATGCTATCTCTAAAAGAATGTCTATGAAAAAGCTAAATAAAAGTGAAGAAAGCGAATAACCCTGACGAATATCATCTTGTCTTATCGATTTCAATGACAGTCTGCCATAGGTTCTGACTGAACTACTGATGTTTAGGTAAAGGTCCTGTACAAGGTTTTTGTAATTCATTGGTACTCCTTTTCAATGACACACATCACTATAAAACCTGTCATCTTACGCAGTCGAAAGCTACCTCAGTATTGAGAAATACGAATATGGTTGGGACTTAGTAGGTTTTGTCTGTGTTTTATAACCTCGATTTGTTATTTAATATTTGGATAATCAGATGTATTCATACATTTGGTTTATCTTATATTCTGTTTATTACTCTCGACCTATTTTGTCTAGCATATCACTAACTTAAAATTAAATGATTTCTTTTGGTTAAATTGATAGATTTCAAGTGCTTTAATTCAATAACACTCCAAATAAAATATCTAATGGGTTAAGGATTATAGTGATGCCCTACTAATGTATTTTATTGATGCTAAGTTTTTTCCCTCGAATTCACACCATTTTGGCCAGTAGTCCAATATCTATATAACAACTCATTGGGTATATTACAGTTTGTCTTTGTTCAGTGATGTATCTGTTTGACTCCTATAGTAAAAACTTAAGATAATCTTTTTTCAAAGGTACTTTCGCCTCAAATGCCCCACGCGTTAGCTACCGACTCCAGATAACCATTGGCTCGTTCAGTGAAAATAATTTTAATTCATTTATATTGGTTATTTGATGTGGGAGATACTAGGTTCGAGTTTCTGTGGGAAGATCAACACAGGGGTCCAGGCACACCCAACCGACGAGAGCTCAATGGCACGAGATGCACATCCTGGATTCCACTGCTAACCATTATAATGCTTGCGACTTAATTGCAATGTTGAAGCGATCCGCGTAGGATTCGCATATGCCATGAGAGACTGGTTGATTGAAGTCTATGGGATTAACGGGAAGATTGAAACAACCTATGCAAATGAATTATCTTTATATTAATCCTGAGAAGTATCGTATTTTATATTCCCCTTTATTTTCAGGTTATGAAGGTTTAACCTGTGAAGATGAAATTAATGAATGTTCGTCTTCACCATGTAAAAATGGTGCACAATGTGAAGATCTAATCAATAATTATACATGTCATTGTTTACCTGGATGGACTGGTTTACATTGTGAAAGTCGTATTAGACCATGTGCTGCTAATTCATCATTATGTTTAAATAATGCTACATGCTTAGATTTAATGACAACAAATGAAAACATTGAAATGATTAATGAGTCAAATGATCTTTTTGTATGTCTTTGTCCTGAAGGTAATTCATTTGTAAATAAAATAGTGTACAAATCGTAATATTTTATATTGGTTGTACTAAACATTACTGTAAGACCAGTCAGTGCCGAGATCCGTAATTAAATTTCATAGCCATACTGATTTTTAACTTATCTAATACTAAACATATTTTTTGTGATATCCCAATTAGTAGAAAATTGTATTTCTAACGTTTCGTGACTAAATGTAAGTCACATATTCAGAGTAAACATACATGTTTGATTAAAAAGGTTAACGAAGATAAGGTAACTTAATATCTCTAAAATTGAATAATGATGATAATAATAATAGCAATGATAATAATAATAATAATAGACGAAGAAAGGTGGTAATGGACTGGTTAAGTAGTGTTGATCTAACTGGTGAGCTTTTGGGATGTGGATTTGAAGTATGTAGAAGAAGCATTATGAGGAAATGAAAGACCTCAATACGTTTACCTTAGTTTCTATAGTCAAAAAGTATAGTTAGACAGGGACTACTGTGTATATTTTCCTATTGAAGAACCTGTGTCTTAGAACATTATTATATTAAGATGAAATAGTTATTTATCAAGAGCATTACTTAGATCCCCTTAAGGAAGTTCATATCAACAGCGAGGAGAAAATTCGAGGATAGTTAGAAAGCTATTTGCTCAGTATAAAGATTCCTGAACGAAAATGATATTTTTTTCCAAAAAAGAATTCCCCTAACCATAACATATTCTAGACATACAGGAGTTCATTAATGGCGTAGAAAGAGCTTACAGTTTCCTTTTTTTGCTTTGTGCTATAAACTATTCTTTTATAATACCCGTTTCTCGACTGGCCCATTAATAGCTTCAGTATCTTAAAGTGATTTACCGGGTCGCCTAAGACAAGCAAAATGCCTTCATTTGACCTTTGTATTCAAGTAGGTTGCTTTTTGCTTAGATTATTTCAGGTTCTTAAAAATAGCTTTCAATACAAGCTGACATTTATAAAATAATATTTGAAAAACATGTAATACAAAGTGGTTGCTTTGTTCTAGTTTTCAGACTATATCGGTCCATACTTAGGGCTTAAAACTATTTTTACCAGTTCTATTGTGAGAGATGGTGATATTTTCTGAAGTGTGTTGGCTGTCAAGTCAATGAAACCCGTTCAATTATATATTAGTGCGCCTTAATAAAATTGTATCTCAGCATTTCATTGGTATAAGTGGCACCACTCTTAAATAAAGAACAAACACATTTATCCTACAGATGGATTAATTCATAACTCCCATTGCTCAGTGTTGACATTTTCTACTACTTCATAGTATAATATTCGTCCTAATTCTACTGAAAAACATTAACTACCTCGTTGATGAATGCTAACTAGTAAGAGACCTCATTTAGAGCTCCTCTTCAATTTACTTTCAACTCACCATCCATCAAGTAGTAAACGATTATGAAATCTTTGAATAGGCAATTTTTCTATTTGAATTAGGTTATAATATATTTTCATCCAATTAAAGATTATTATTTTTACTGAGCAAAAAGAATTACGTCAAATAAATATGGAATTTTCGTTATACATTATTATCGTACAAACCTATCTTCATGTTAATATATACATCTTTTAAAACAGAGATTTTATCCTTTTTAATTGTGTATCACTATGCTATATATATATATATATATACATTGGTAAAATTCAAATGACAATTTATCTTTCATGTTTCTCTATCTCTCTGTCTCTGTCATTTCTTTAACGACAAAACAAAACACCAACTAAAAGGTTTTCATGGCAAGTTATGTGAGACAAAAATAATTAATAATTATTGTACGGAGATTGTCTGTCAAAATGGTGGACAATGCAATGTATTAGACAATGGTAAAGAATATTGTACATGTTTGAAAAATTATCACGGATTATACTGTGAAGTAAAAGAGAACCAAGAAGAACAAAATACAAAATTATCCCGAATAGAAAAAGACCAAATTGAAATGGTACGTTTAGAAAAAACTATTTATTTTTGTAAAGAGAAATAGATGGGTTGATTTTTTTCATAATTTCAAAATGAAATGACTTCTTTTCTTTGACTAAATGTAAAATTCATGGTATTTACAGCATGACAGAAATAGTAATACTAGCAATACCAGTATTGGTAGTAGCGTTAGTGAAACAAATTACTTAATATGACACAAATGTGCTTAAATAAGATTCAGATTTAAACTGATATAATGGACGCTACTCACAAGATTGCTTGTAAGCAGTATGTATGCAGTAATCAACATGCGGAGTGAAGAGTTTCAGTGATTTGAAAGCACAGCATTGGCAGAACACTTGGAAACTAGACAAGCAGACAGTTCAGATGACAAAACACAACGAAAGATACAAATTGAAGCGATGTATTTGTATTATATAAATACTTTGTAACTTCTCGCCGTCAATACTTATTAGTCTTGCCTACTGTCTTGTTTTACACTGCTATCTAGTAACTTATGAACATTTGTACATTTAATGATTACAATATGTATGCTTCGATCATTCTAATAAATATTCTAACTTAAGGAAGTTATCTGTGTTTTGTGATCTTCATTTTTATCTTTGTTTTAATTGTCGACTATATAATAATCGGTAGATTTAGTGAATTCTCTTTTACAATAGGGAATTTCGAAAATCGACCCAATGATCAAGTTACAAATTTACGAGTAACATATTCAAGTCAATAGTTTTATTAGTCAATTTTACCATAATGATAGTGAATGCATCGTAAAAATTAAGAAAATTAGTTACATTTAATAAACACCACGTAAATTCATTAATCGTTTATTATCAAAATAAAAAGGCATCATAGATCTGTTTCAATTTTTAGCAATATAGAATTGGAATTAAGAACTGGAAAAATCATGCCATCATTTTTTTATTTCATTCCTTTACCGTAGATAATTTTTCATCATGAATTGAGACTGACTGGTGAATGGTCGTGAACATTAGACATGGTGCAAAGTATGGATAAAAATCATTTATCCGTTTGTTAATAGCTAGTTTTTTTTAGAAGAAACTCTAGTTAAAATTCATGGATGCATGAATTCAATCATGTCACCATCGACAGTTATTACCTATTTTACTGAACAAGAATTGCTCTGTATTAGAAATTTACTAGATCTTAAAACATGAGGATTTGCATTTTGATCCTTTTATTTTAAGCGGCATTTTACTAGTCGTGTCACCTGATGGTACTAGGTTCGGTTCTTTATATAAAGTTATGGCTACGCACTAATGAATACACCTTATACAAGGACACGAAAGCTATTCGGTACTCACTAATTTCTAATGATTGCCTAGTTAGTGTTAGTTTGTAGTGAAAATCAAGGCGTTAAGTTTAACCATTTCTATGGAAATTCTGTCTTTAGTTTAAGGGTTTAAACAAAATATTGTTGTTACTAAGGTTTTATTAGAGCGCCTCCTGAATTCCCCAATAATCCATTGCTGAACTTTAATAAAAATATCGTTATAGATCCCACGTTCCATTATATTAAAATATAAACTTGGCTATGATAGATTTTAGTCTCCCTAATCTTATCTAAATTTCAAAACATATCTAACAATGAGGTTTATTATGAAGGTATCTAGCTTAATGTTCGTTGAATAATTCTAAACGAATAATCTTCTGTTTTTTATTTTATATAACAGGAGACATTTAATTGTTTCAAAACACCATGTTTCAATAATGGTACTTGTCATGTACTTGATGGCATCAGTGACTCCTCGACCATAACAATCACTAATACAACAGTTAATAGTAATAGTAACAGTGGTAGTACATTTTGCCACTGTAAACCTGGTTTCTCTGGTCATTACTGTGAAAACATACAAGACTATTGTCAACATTCACCATGTCAAAATGGGGGAGTATGCATGTTAAAAAACGGTAATAATAATAACAATACTATTAATCATTTGAATGTTGTAACAGCTGAATCGAATTACACTTGTATGTGTCAACCTGGATATTCAGGTAATCAATTTTTTTTATCCAATCACAAAATTCATTTTCTTGTTTTGTTAATCTCAATCTCAGCAACTACACCATCCATCATACAAATTATTTTACGATAATGTTTTAAGATTGTTTTTGAGAGGATCTACTACCTTTTGTTTACCTAAATCTAACTGATTTGATTGTGAAATTTATTATTACTGCGACCAACTTGAATATCTTCATGCATACGTACATACATACATATACATGCATACGCAATCCCACTTTTAAAGGTATAAAATTAGAAAGAGTAACATTATCTTTAAGAATTTTGACATAGTAACGAATATGAGGCCAAGGTGCGTAGTGTGAAGTATGTGTATAGTTTACATGAAATCGGCAATCTTTTTCGATATTCACCTAGGGCACATACATACAAAATGATCAAATATAAAAATCATCAAATAAACTTGAGTGAATAACACATCTCTAATCATTCTTTTTATTTACATTAAAATCAGTGTTTAACAAGTTTTTAGCTTTAACAAAAGTAATTCAACTAGACAATAATTCTAAGATCTGTTCCTGTATAAAATCAAGGATCTAAACTTTTGACCGCTGTTCATAACTAGACAAAATTCAATTCCCATCATATAGACTGGATTTTGTTACTATAATCTAAAATTACTCAATTGTGATGTTTCATCTAATAGTTCGTAGTAAACCCTTTAAAAATGAATTGTTTCTCCTAATATTCAAGCTAAACATTTATGGTCAACTTATTTAAACCGTACTGTGAAGCACTGTTTATACATAAATGAAATTTAGTTGCTTAGTGCAAGATGTTAACAAGATTGTTCAATGTTCCAATGACGTCTCGATGAAAGTTCATACAAAATAACATATCAGAAAGCTATTTGATGTGAGCAGTAACTGAGAGAATCACATCTACCAATTAACTACATAGAGTCTACACTTCTGGTATCGACTAATTTTTTTTCTAGATCAATCCCAAATAATTTTAATTGAGATCATGAACTGATCAATGTTGGACCACTAGAATTCCAGGAAATCTATCTTAAAGCTAGTCACCAGCGAGAACATGATTATTGTCGGTAAGAGGAGTTGCGGAGATTGTAGTATTTTCAACAGTTAAATTCACGAGTCGATCTAAGCTAGACCACCTGGACGGCTGTTTCGTCCTAGTTAAGGACACTGTTGAATGCCGGCTCGTTGGTCTAGAGGTTCTAATTTCGCATACGAGACCGAAAGTCTTGGTTTCTGGTCCTGTATGTGGGATCGTGGATGCGCACTGCTGAGGAGTCCTATACTAGGACGAAACGACCGTCCAGTGCTTCCAGGTTTTCAATGGTGGCCTAGCCTAAATAGACTCATGAATTTAACTGTTAAAAATACCACAATCTGCACAACTCTCCTTACCCATAATGGTCTTTAAAATACTAAACTAATTTATAGGTTAATTCATTTCCTCTCATAAATATAAGCTTTTCGTGAGAAATTCTATTATTACCTCATATGTAATATGATTTACCCATTTTTAACGTTAATTTTTAGTTTTCCACTTTAAAATATGGAAGATGGAAACAGCTAGAAATTAGAGATCGCTGGATAGCTGATTTTTTAAAATATCAAAGTCCATACATATATTTACTGTGTTAAGAACAAAAAATACCTAGTTATCCCGTTGTATTCTTTTACATAAGCACTACACTACACCGTACTTCCAATAATTGTTCAACTATTCAGGATGTGATGTCAATTATTTTCTGATCTAGTTTACCTATTGAATGAATACTCTGTAAATGGTATTTACCTCAATTAAGATAACATTAAGAATTTATAAGCACCTGACTTATGGTTAGCTCATTATTGAAGCTATTGAGATTTGCTAATCTATGACTGTTCGGATACTCTTAGTCAGTATTTTCTAAATTACAACTTGAATTAGTTCACTATTTAAAGCTACAATCATTTAATGCCGTAGATGACAACTGTTTCCTTCAAGAAATAGTTGAATTCCATAGATCAGCAATGACTACTGAGACTTCATAAAGTTAATTCGAAATCACTGATGATTTTACTTTGTATTTTTTCTCTCTTGAGGTTAAGTAGTTATAACATTTTGTTTACAACTCGTCAAAACATACTAAATTTTGTGTCAAACGAATTAATTATCTAGCCAATTAGTTTTTAGAGTACAGTTTCGTTGGACCGTTGTACAATACATCCTTAAAACTTCAATAGTGTATATTTTTATATTTGAGACTGAAACATTCTTTAGAATATTATACATTTCATGTTTGTTAAAAAAAGTTGATTGCTTAGTTTCAAACAATCGAGTAAACTAATAATGTAACATTGAAGAATGAAATGAAACTTTCGAATAAACAAAATATAGTTCACCTACCTACATGTTAATTATTAATATTGACAATACTATTACATCGATTACAATTTGTATGTGTTCAAGATTGTTTATTTTATTTAAAATGACGTTACTTGAATATGCTGTACTGTTACCGTTTAAACTTCGTACTTAGTGATCAATGATCAATAATCACTGAAGTTAAATCGGCTAATGTTAACATTCCTATAGTAGAATGATATATATTTTAATATATGTGATCGTCGACACTATTATATTAGGTTAATATTCCTCCATAGTTGAAAAAGTGGTCAATATTATGATACATTAAATATGTAACATTAATCAACTTGTAAAATGATAAATTTCAATTTACGCATTAAATATTATAGTTTAGTCTTTCTTATCTGTACTATAATTTAAATGTATAGGATCGAGGTTGTTTTAAATTTATTCATGTAATTTAAATGTAACATGGAAAATAAGTGTTGATTTCTGCGGGTATTTGGGAATATATATCAATCAATAAAAGTGTGAGTGTTGTATGTTTGATAATTGAACATTGAATTATTTTATAACTACCTTTACTAGCAATAATAATAATAATGGTTTTTTATTATTGCCACATATCATTTCATGGTTTTCCTGAAATAATGAATTGTTTTGTCTATCATTTGAATAATACTAAACCATAATGAATTCACACGCCTTAAATCATTTTAATCTGTTCGTTCTCTTTACTTCATAATAAACTAATTTTTAAAAAAATACAAAGTTGTTTAAACAGAGTAATTAGTAGATTATCCGTACTTTCCACAACAACAGTCACAACAGTAACATAAAACGAGTACATATAGATAATCTATATAAATTTAAGTTTAGAGATAAATAATTCACTTTATTATGTCTATGAAGTGGTTGTATTTTTTTATATTGGCGCCTCAGAAAAAATAAGAAAACTCTCTTCTTTTTTAACGGGTGGTGGTTGGGGTAAGTAGTTGACCTAACAGAGGAAAGTAGAATGGTATGAATATTTTTTTCAGTAATAGAGTCAATATTTTCTTTTTCAACAAGATAACGGAGAGAATGAAATGAGAGCGGAGAAAAAGTCAAAATAATGCTGGTCATAATTACTTTTTTTAATCAGATATATATTACTGTGAAACAATTTACTGATTATACACAAATCATCAGATATGAAATAAACATCAGTGAATTAGGATTTTTTTTAAATATATATATTTGTATACACAGCAATAAATATCAAGGTGACATCCTTTTTGCTATAAAAAACAACATACTAACTTATTTATATTCTACCGCAACCTTGTAAGTACATCAACCCGCCTATCCATTTGTGCATGCATTTATGCATGTCAGTGCATTCGATTTCACAATGTAAGATAATTATCTCGTTAATACGAAATTATAATTCATGAGAAATCTATTAATGTAAAGTTTGCGTCTAATACTTTCCTTAAGTTGTCGTTATTTATTTATTTTTAAAAAATGGTAAAACGAGATTATTTTGTTTATTCCTGCTTTTTTTGAATAAAGGTATTTTTGTTTACAGAATGGAAACGGGTATCGTTATATTGTTTAGACAAATATTGTTGTGGTACCTATTTGTCATATGCATATATGTTTGTAATATATATATTTAACAATAGACACACGACCAAAATGTAATAGTTGTTGGAGAGAATTATACTTATTATTTGTTGCGTTTCCGATACAACTAGATATCTCATAGTATTGTTTATTGTCTGTAGCTTATGTGTAAACAGTACATTTCTATCAGTATAACGGAGCTGTAAAGATTGTTGAGTTTTGATAGTTTTCAGTATGGATTGACCTAAGTTTAAAAAAACTCACACTAATAATAATCATGCGTTCACTAGCTTTCAGTTTTGAGAAGTAATTTCCCTCAGTTATGGTGAGAGGCTATAATCAATAGAGTTCAATCATGTATCCACCAATAATATTGGTATTTAGCTGCGCAATATCGAGAATCGTTTGAAGTTGGCAATGGAAATCATTGGATGTCAGATCACTGAGTAAATTGAAACTGGAACAGTTGACTTGTAATGTTCATCTTCAATATTTTATGTACAAGTATGTACGTAACAGCTTTAATCCCCTAAAAAGAACGCAGTTTAGTAGTCAGTGGTTTTATTCTCTAGCAGCTAATCCATTAGGATTTATGAGGTCATTTCTTTGGCAAATTATCAATTAATGTCCAATCCAGTTATTTCTGAAATCTTATCAGTCAATTCTCCCACCATAAGAGAAATATTTTGATTCCAAAATCGGTGAGACTATAATTTATGGACGAACTTTGATCGACGCTAAAGTGACCTTGAGAATGTTTATCTTTTAACTAGGACTAAATGAGGGTCATAAACCAGTGTGAGGAATCAGAATCATGATTTACAGTTGATGGTTGGGGCTGGGAATTAGATTTGGAGATTTTCATCAGGAATTGGTATATACTATAATGTCAAAACTCTATTTAGTCAAATGGATCAGTGGATTTTGCGCCAAGACCCATACGTGATTAGTTTGTCCATAAATTATAGTCTCACTCGTTTGAGGATTATTATGATTGCTTGATATGAAGTAATCATGACAAATCAACAAATGTTTCTTAAGATGATGATCGATTAGTCAAGAGAGCTGTATCACAGTTTATTCATTCTATTTGAGACTTACACTGTATATTCCATTATCTTTTCTGTTTAACAAATCTTATTATATTTCAGAATTTTTTATCTTATACATTTTGCATAATATCAAAAATTCATCATCCACATGGGTGTAAAATCAACTAAACTGATACAATGAGTCAGTCTCGTAACTTTGATATTATGAAAAGTAAAAGATCTCATCTGAATGTCATCTTCATCTTTATGACTCATATTGGGCTATGTTCATAATAATAATAATATATGTACTAATAATACTGATTTATGAAATGTTGTATTCAGACAACAGTGTACATTCTTTATTAATAGAAGTACGACCATTTCATATTTTATGTATTTAGTCAATTAATATTAATGGGTGTATGGTTTATTTATGATTTATATTATTATTTATTATCTTATTATATATAGTATACTTATCCCCATACATTATCCTCATTCACACATGTGTACACATCCATCTTATACAAATATATATATACGCACAAGTGAAAAGTATTTCCATTTGTAATCCTCTAAATTAAAGGTTTATATTTAATATGAAATATTGTGTAAGGCAATATCGAGGTATACGCACAGTATGCACATATGCCAATAAGAGACTGATCAATTTCAGTCATAAAAACATTAATGGGAAGATTCAAGTAAAACAATACCAAGTGAATATATATATTTGGCATAAATATTTAACGTTAAAATACTTGAGGAATTTTTTATTAATAATTATTTTTAACACATCTCTATCAGAAATAGTTTCAAATAAAAACTGTTATTGTCAAGATATAGTAAAGTAGGTTGGTTAAAAAAAAAAGTAAAGTGACTAGTATTATCCTGATTATGAATCAAAATAAAATTAAGACAGCTGTCATAAGAAATTATTATTTATTTTATATTATATTTGATAGGAGACTATGACAACTAAACATAATAATGATCATTATTTAGAATTGCACTAAACAATGTATTCTAGACATATATAAGTTGAATCGTCATGATAATTAACATTAAAATAGAAATTATGAAATTTTGATTGGATGATAAGTGAATCTTTTTATTTTGGTAGGGTTTAGTTATTACTTAGTTATTCATTAAGTTAATTAGATATAACTTATTTTACCCAGATAATGATTTTGTATTGACAGTTTATATGTTTGTGTCTGTTTGTACTCTCACTAGATGATACTTATCTATCAAAGATCAACTTATGTTTATAAAACTATCATGAAAAGATTTAACTATTACTGATCTGAAATTTAACTTCAGTGTTAAAAAAACAATATAAGCTGCTCTTGATTGAAGTAGACCAAATCGTTCTCATCAATGTTAGAAACTAAAAGGCTTTCATAAAATCGAAATCAGTCCAAATATTCACTGATTATTATTGGTCTGGATCATGTAGAAAGAGGATATAAACTGATTAAAGTTTACAAGAGAATCGTAATACATGACCGGAGATTTCAAGTTATACAGATTTACTCGTAGATTTCCTACCATTTTTTGAGATAACGTCCTGTTTCATTCTGTGAGTTCATTCTTTAGGCAAATTGAACCGACGCATGTTTGTACCATAGCCTAAGTTGTTTACGACTGTCATTAAATTGACAGATTTTAGACGTCTTTCGGCTATAGGCATTTAAGAAATTATGAATCATTAAGAAAGCAGGACTAATTTAATCCAACTCAAATCAGTCGGCAGAAGTGCTCATTGGTGTTAAGAGTAGGTGCGAAAAAAGTCGAGAACCATATATGTATTTACAATTTATAAAATAAATCATATCGTTTCAACGTGTCTAGCAGTATTCATTTATGGTCGATTTTTTATTTGTTTTTCTAGGAAAACATTGTGAAATTAATATATTCGACTGTTTCAACCAACCTTGCGGATCCTACGGAATCTGTAAAGATGAAATTAATGGTTATCATTGTGAATGTTTAAAAGGATGGGAAGGATTACATTGTGATAAAAAATCATTGTCAACAAAACTGGGTACATATGAAAAAAATACTGGATCTAATTCAATGTTGATGTTGATGAACAGTAATTCACAAAAAATTCACTTCAATCTCAGCAGATTATGTCCTAAAAACTATTATTGTGCTAACTCAGCTCTTTGCATTTTCCCTAATGATGATACATCTTCATTTATGTTGAATAATTTGAACATTGCAAGTGAATATAAATGTCTTTGTGAGACAGCAATTGGTCGATTCGAAGGTATGACAATTTCATTTATATAATATTGTATAAATATATCTTTATTGACAGTTCAATGCTTTAATATACCTTTTAAATTAAAAAGGAAAACATATTAACCTCGCTTTTTCTGAAGTCATAATAAAAAATTATGATTACTGTAAGTTTTTATTCAAAAGCTTACCTCTATCAATTGTAACTCAAATTACATTTCTAATTTTTACATAATCATGTTAAATAAACGTTTCACTTTAGTTTTAAAATTTCTAAACATTCTTCTCACTCTATTTATTCCATAGTTTTAAACACCATGTATAAATCTATCATTAAAAGAATGTTATAGTTAAGCCTATGGAATAAAATTTCATCATAAATACTTGCCATAAACCTTTTCGCCCTTGTCTACACTTCTTATAATTGCGCTTCGAAAATGGTGAGCATTACTCAACATACATTTATTCCTACACACATACACACACACACACAGATACGCAAAGCTAATTCATTGCAGAAGAAATTTTCTACAAATGACCCTATTTGTCTTGTCAAGATTTAATCCGAGAAGATAAAAAATATTATTCATTGAATATGATAATAGTCATTAATCATTTGTCAAGGTGTTAATTTTTCTTATAAAAAAAGAAAGTAGTTTTCTTAAAGGGAGCAAGAACAAAGATTGGTTCAGAATAATATGAATTCATTTTATTTCGTTAGGTTCTCATCATCTGCTTACAACCTAAAAGATTTAAAATTCAACATTATTACAAATATTGACATACTTATACATAAGAGAGTGATTAAGGATGAATAAATGTATCATGGTGTAGCGAAGATTCCGACAGGGTTAATGAGGTCATAAAATTTTGTCTCGAATAAATAGAGTTTGAGAGGGAAAGTTCCGGAACATTGAAATAGTGATTAGAACTCATGAAAACAGATTAATGATAATAAAGAAAATATGAATTGAAATCAGTCAGTTATGTATGATGTAATTTAAACTTCAGAAAGAGTTGGAATAATGACGCAATAAATAAATAAGTAGAAATAAATGAATAAAAAAAGGGGGGGTATTGTTACCAGGGTAAAGAAAGATTTATTACTGTCTCTTTTTGTATACATAGGTCTGGTTTTAGACGTTTGATTGTTAATGCCTCGGCAAATTTCGAAAGGTTGGAGTTTGATTGTTTGTTAATCACCTTGAAGAACTTTAGCATACTAACTTCATGTCCTGTGTCAAGGAGATGTCTTGCGATGGCACTGGTGGATGCTTTTAATTCATTTAATCTTAAACTTTTCGGAATATTTTTTTTTGAATCGGACGTAGGCTATGTGTATGAAAGTAGTTTTCATTATTTATTCGATAGTTTTTTCATTGTAAAATTTTATTTCAGTATAAATAATGAAATTTGTGTAGTAATGATAAGATGTTACAAATGTTTCTTATTTATAATAGTAAAACAGTGCAAACAAGATCATCAGAGTTGAATGGCTGCTAGTAATGGAATCCCGGACACGCGTTTCATCCTGTTTGGTACTAGTTAGAATGACGTACCCGCATCCCAGCGTTGATGTGCATATGTGCATTCTGTGTAATCTGCACAGACTAATCTTTGCCAAACTTTATCTCAGTTAAGCGATGTCTTCACCAGTTCAACTTTAATTGGAGATTTGTCTATGGAAACCACAACTGGTGTATAGTCGGATGGAAAATTTCGCCAAACTATGTTATGAACATTTAATCTATTGAAAAATTCCATAAGGAGAATAGTCTCGAATCTATACAAACAGTATACTTCCGGTGTACCAGTGAAACGTTTTACTATCACTAAATCGTCCTAGATAGGAAAATTATTTGAAATTATTTGGGAAAACTATTTAAAATCAGAAAGTATCTGACTTAATGTCTCATGTTTTTATTATGAGACTTCTGATAGATCTCCACTATCAGATCTCTTACAAGAAAGATTGTAAAAATCGTTGAACAATTGATTTAAACATTTAAAATGTATTGATATGACCTTCTACTCATTTCAGTTTACCCTGCCGAGTATTACGGTCAGCTTCCACGTATATATGGTTCGATTCTGAGTCAATTACTCAGGACCTTGCGTAGTTGACAAATAATTATATCATTTCAGGAATGGATTAGTTGAGTTTTATTACAAATCATTACATTTTCTAACTGATTACACTTTAGTACATTTGGAATGTGGCTAAAAACGGATTCCAGAAATCCATACATTTCGTCCTATATATGACTCTTCGATCTCACATTTATTAACTAAATGCATTCTTATTATTGAATTAAATTAATAAATGTATCTCTTATTCTTTCTTTTCTGATCTGGAGGTAATTATTGTGACATTGACGTGAATGAATGTTTCGAGTCTGAAGAAAAACAGTCATCATTATGTCAAAATGGTGGACAATGTATAAATACCTATGGATCGTATATATGTAGTTGTACAACACAGTATTATGGTAAACATTGCGAATATTCATTTAATCCATGTAACTTTGACAATACCTCAATCTGTTTCAATGGAGGGATATGTTTACCATCATCAGATGGTATAGGCACGTTATGTGTTTGCCCAAAAGGATTTACTGGACCTCAATGTAGAGTAAGTTCCTTCTGGTGTAGTGAACCTATTTTTACAAATATTATTGATTAATGATTTCATTTGCAGTACCCCAACTGAGACTGGTCTACGACGAATACAATATATAGACTAAATCAATCTCCATAAAACCTCTTGAACTACATAAACTATAACAGTCAGATCACTAGTGAATTGATTCAAGTTGTTCCGTAAGTTCTAGTGAGAAGTAACAAAAGGAGTCCAGGTATTTTGTGAGGGAAAAAAGTTATCATTTTCATATTATACTGCAAACTGATTAAGGTGAAAATTTTATCATAAGACTCTAACTCGACAATTCTAATGGATAAGCGTTCAAAACGAGACCTGAATATATTGAGTTCGATTGCTGAATTGTTTGTGGATATGCACTACTGATGAGTCTCATAGTAAGACGAAACAGCCATCCAGTTCTCTCTAGTCTTCACTGGTACTCTGACTGATACCAGTCTGTGATAAATAAAATTTACAATTTGAAATAGTTTTTAATTGTAAAGAATCATTTGTTAGAATATATACAATTATCAAAAACCAGGTTTATGTTCATTTATTCTTGATATCATTTTTGTATATGACCATTCTCTCTTTTGATATATTTAAGCTAAACCTTCGTAAATTATGTAATGATATTTTAAAACAGTCCAAAATATGCACTTTTTTATACTTACGTAAATAAAGAACAAACACCAAAATCTGTCATTAATTGATCATTTTAGGTATGAGTTTCAGGGATCCACTATGTTTTAGTTCAACCAAATTTATGTCCGCATGATTCATTACATTATCATACGGTTTATAAGAACCATAGCTAATTTTCTTGATAGTAATTTAATAATTGAATTCGTTAGTCTATTAAAGCTAGACCACCATGAAAAACCTGGAAGCGCGGGACTGCTGTTTCGTCCCAGTGTGGGAATCCTCAGCAGTACGCATCCATGATTCCGCCTCGCGAATCTCGAACCCAGGACTTTCGATCTCGCGCGCGAACGCTTAACCATTAGACTACTAAGCTTGCATCTAACGGTGTTAATATCTAACTCCAATCAACCCTCGAAATCGCGCCACCGTTCTTGATAGATTAAATGTCCTTGAGTTTGTAAAATTTACAACTAATTGTAGAAGGTTTTAAAACTGCTATGAATCTTTGATGAACTATGAAAACCTCTAAAAATCACTGATTGCATCAAACTAAAGCTTCTTCTCTTCTCAGTTTTATAGACGACAAAGTGTATTGGTTTTAGTTGTCAGTTTGTTGGAATTAAATTAAAATTTAATTGTTTGGATTGTTCCAAATATAGTTTTGTATCTGATAAGTTAAGTAGATTTTATTTAATGGTAATCATGATCATATTAGTATTGTTGTGAAATTTTTTTATTGTACACAAATTCCTAGAACAAATATTTAACCATAGTATACTGTTATCAATCGTTCACTGATGACATCTCTGGTAGGACTAGATAAAATGCATGAACATGCTTTAATTCAGTGTGATATTTGTTCAGTATAAAATTCTTTTATACTAATCTAGTGTTATATCAGATTATTGTGTTATTTAGTATTTGTTTGTATCGATTTAATTTAACGTTTGCTCTATATAACATTCAGTTGATTAATTCGATTGCATTCTCGCCATTTCAGTAATATATGATGTTCATTGACTAATCATCAAAAGTCAGTATATAGATAACTGTATTTAGTTTGCAATTTATTGTCATGCTTACGAAAGGTGAATAAAAATTGCATCCGTTATTTGAATTTTCGTATTGTGCAAATCTCAGTTTCCTCCTCTGTTCTTGATTCAGTTTCAGCTGCTAAAGCAACACCCAATTTAAAACAGATTATGACCGCTGTGCTACATGGTGTGGTTATTATAATGAACATTTAACTGATTTTCATCACTCGCTGATGCTATCGTTTTTAGAATTATTGCAACTCATAAACTATTGGACAGATATGCCTGTTCAACGTAAATATTTCCCCTAAAAATAATCTGAATCATTAGGGCAAAAACCTTTTTCTTTAAATTTCCGCAGAATTCGGCTCTATCTATCCAAATTTTATTGCTTTGGTATGTCCCATTCTTTTTTAAGAGCTTTTCATCTGTACGTGCATTCATTGAGCTGGAATTCAATAGCCCATATTCAATTAACTGGTGTCATAAAATGTCACTTATTGATTCTGTTATAGTAATCCAGCTCCAATTCTTCAGTTCTTATTGAAACCCGCCTCAAAATACATTTTTAACTTAACCATATTGGATGCAGTTTCTGTCGATCAAGTAAGGCTCTGTAATTTTCCTCCGCAAATATTCACAATTGCTGATAACATACCAAATTTAGCAAATCTTATAACATGACAATATATCGAGGCAACCCACTAAGGATTCACATATAACAATAGAACTTAACAAGTTGTAGTCCAAAACATGAACAACGGGAACCTAAAAGCCCTTACCAATGCTTTAATACATATTTTTCAAGTTAGTGGGTATCTGGAATCAGTAGCTCAGTGGGTAACGTTTTAGTCACCTCAAACGAAAGGTATCGGGTTCTACTCTCTGTTTTGAACATCAAGCCTGGAATCCGAATGCATCCAGTTAACCAGTCCCAAACAGGAAGATACACCCATCCTGAATTCCTCTGATTGTCATATATTTAATACTATAACCATTTCTTATAATATTTACCTTTGAATTATCTTCAACTTTCCTCTACTTTTTTCTTCGTGTATTAGGAACAGATAAATGAGTGTACTGGTCACCATTCATGTATAAATGATGGAATATGTTTAGATTTGGTTGGAAAGTATCATTGTTTATGTCCAATTGGTACATATGGAATGAATTGTGAATTCACTTCTAAACAAATTTGTACTAATCAATCGTGTAGTGAAAATGTAAACGTAAGAAACTGTACAACAAATGTAAGTTGTTTGTATACAAATTATATATAAAATCGACTATACGTAAATCTGTATATTTATTTATGTATTGGAGCTTTTCTATATATTTAAAATTTCAAAATTAATTACCATCGGTAAGCGCCTGGTATTCGATTGAATAATTATGGACACTAACAGTAGTTACCAGTATGACTGATTGAATAATAGGAAAATTATTTTTAATCATTTTTTTCTCAGTTTGACTAAATTGAGTTAACGTAAAGATAACTAACGAGTAAGAACGTCAATACACTCTGAAGGATTCAGTTTATTTGCCTCAATTCAATTGACTCACACTGAAGAAGAGTGAGCAGACAGTTCATTGTACGCCTCTTGCATTTGAGTTAGTTCTACGGTTTGAACAAAAACATTAAAAGTATACGATAAGTAGATCAACGGGAGCCTGTTTGTTCTCCATACATCGATCACAGAGTAACATTCACTGAATGACGTTTTCAAAAAATATGGAAGCACTGAACAGTTATTTCACGCTAATTTATGACGCTTCAGTACAGTACAGCCACGATTCCATATTGGGCCGAATCTAGGATAATTAGATCTTTCGGAAACTATGATGTCATATAATTACTGTGGTTAAATTCACTGACGGAAATGATCTAGTCAATTCGTGATGTATCGCAACCATTGATTAACTTTATCGGCAATGTCTGCATTAAGTGGGACTTGAATGGGTCCTCCTCTATGCATATCGATGACTCCCTCAGGTATTGAACCCAGGACTCTTATATCTCATGATGAGGTGTCTCATACTTGGATGAAACAGTTATTTAATGTGTTCATATCTTCACTAGTCTTCTAAGGTCAATCCGTGATGTGGAACTTCAAATATCAAAATTCATATTCTATGTATAATTCTAACAGTCTTAATGTAATTTTTCGAATTAGTTGTCTCTTATTACTTTTTCATTCAATTATGTTGAATAAAATTGTCATAGTACAACATAATATAAATTAGTCAGCGTCATTTAACTTAAAGCAGAAAAAAGTTGACGATGGATATTAAGCCTTATTTTTGGTCCTTACTACTTAGTTGCATTTATGATAATTGAAAATTTTCCGCTTAGGTGGATGTTTTAAGGAGTATTGTATTCGCTGATTTTGATGGTTTAATTACAGAGCTTTTATTGTCGTTCTGAACAAAGCAATTACAGCTTACTTCATGTAGAAATCTGGCTCAATAAATAGAATAGAATAGAATGATGTAGTGAATTAGATCAATTCATGAAAATAGTTTTGAGTTTTTATTTTCACAGATCATGAAAATTCATCTTAATTAATAATTATTATTTTACATAAAACTTTGAATTTGTTTACGTAAATTAGTTAGATTTTCATACCCTATATAGCGGTAATGCATTCGGATCATTATATTATTTCTATGGAACTCCAAATGCCTATATTTCGAATGATATTTGGAAGATAATTTATATATATATTCTTCTAAACAAAAAAGAATTCCATAAATGTATAAGCAACAAAATGTCAAATTTAATGTGAACGGATAAATAAAACAAGAATTGGATAATCAGTCTATCGTCTACTTGTTTGTTTATATAATTCTTCTTAGGAACTGAATCAATTTCTCTTTACGGATTTATTTATTTGTTATTGTTTTTCAACTGTAAAGTAAATACACTTTTGTAGGTTGTATTCGTCACAGACTGATGTCAGTTGCGTTTAGCATTTGCTTCGAGACCTGAAGCTCTTGAGGCCTATTCCTGATGAGTTCATGGGTGCGCACCGCTGGAGAGGTATTTACTACCTGGTTTTTAATGGTATCTCTGCTGAGATTAATCTGTGAAGAATACATAGGAAAAATTGAACTAATCTCCACAAACTTCCGTTCAGTTATACATACATCTTTTGGATAATTTACTCGGTACGATAAATACCATTACTCTGTGGTTTTCTCCCTGAAAAATAATACAAATTAAAGAAGGATTTCTAGACACGGGAGGAGTGTTTTTCACTCTAAGTATTGAAACAAAGTCTGAAAAGTAATTGGAGTTGCACAACTGATTTTTTTCTCTACTTAACATCCGTTTCAGAAGTGCAATTTGAGTTTTGTTATCCATGTGAGATATAACGAGTAGAATGGTAGCATCATTATTAGTTTTTGTGACTGTAACTTTTATTCTCGATCACAGTATTTGACAATTAACTCATAGTCATACGTATCTTAGTCTGTGATATTTTCATCTACAAGTTATTTTAATTATGTAATCCAACAACATAATATTTCAGTCTTAAACAGTATTTCTGTAATTCAACATATTTCATGCAGTTAGTTCCCTTCACAAATCAAAACATATTGGAAGCAGTAATGTTTGTAGAATCAAATGAATTGATTAGGCTTTTTTTCTGCTTGCCTATATATAACCCATAAGTTTGATCAATCTTGGAGCTTGTAATATTTATTAGCACGCTTGGTAATTGAGAGGCAACATTCATTGATCACTTAGTGTTAGAAGCCGATGTTATCTTTATCTAGTCTATTTACCGTTAACTGATATCTATCAACCATATTTCAGTGTGATCCTACCGGTCCAGGTAATTTGACCTCCAGATGGACTGCGTTTTGATATTAAAAGGTCACTGGTCGTGGTTTGAACAACTCAGTGATAACACTGAAGATTGTGACACTGGTTGATTAGGATTAGAATCCCAATAAATACATTACTTCCCTTAAGGTTACAGGCACGGTGTGTTGAATAGTGCCACCTAGTATGAAATCGATATTTTCTGTTTCCCGCCTACTACTTCTCACCATTTAACATTAGTAAATAAATTTCCCAATGTGGAAGAATGAAGCTGAAATTGCAGTATAGTTTGTGTGAATAAGTTTTGAGGAAAAAAAATAGATAGTAGATTATTTTTACCTTATAATAACAATAATAATATATTCTGAAAATAATTATTACAGAATTTAAGCCAGTTTACAGGCATGATAAGTTGATATAAATAGTAACAGTAAATGTAGAGAAAAAACATGTGATACAAGATTGTTTTAAGTTTAGGCAGTACATTTATGACATGCATTACAGTAACGCAATGCATCAGTCGGGAATTTTTAATTCTTCTTAAGTGAACATCCTGTTGATTTATGAACAGTGCATTTGAGGTCATTTACTGTACCATAACAAACTAATTATAATTATCCACAACTAGAGAAAGTGAAATGGAGCACCGAACAAAAATATAATAATTACTAAAATATGTCAATCAGGTCTACCATAATGCATGTGTCATGTGACTCAGTGATATACCGTTCATGTTAGATATTATTCAAATTAATTAAGGTTGCCAGAAACGGTGTTAACGTAAAGTAACGGCAGGTAGGTGGTTTACTTAGTGAATCCAGTAACAAGTATGGCTAAACATTTAAAGTTCCTATAATCTCACTTGTGGAATAAGATAGAACATTTAATGCATCGTCAGAGGAGCAGTATGCATCAATGCAGCGAAAAAAAGAATTGGAGTAGTTTTATCTTACTGGCAGATTGCGATAGATTGTTCCAAAGTCTGGAAATTTTATAGGTAAAGTAATTTAGATGATTTAGAATGGGTTTGCTTCACTGGTGACAAGGAATTACGGATGTCGTAATTAGAAGTTTCTGTATATTGAATTACTTGACTAGATGTAAAGGAGATTTTATTAAGTAGTTTGAAGAAAAAGATAAGCTTTAGTTTGAGTCTCCTCTTCCATAAAGGGTCGAGCCCACGTTTATTACACCTGGAATTATAAGTCGAGGTACAATTAGTTCCAAGAATACGAAGTGTAGGTCGTCTCTGTACTTATTTTAACCTTAATTTATCCTTTATGCTCGCACTGCTAAGAATAAACGTGCAGTATTCTAGGAGTGGTCGAACACAAACTTTGTAAGTCAAAATGTGTGGCTGATTGTTATAAAGGTTTCGAGTTATGCAACCTGAGATGGTGGAGAAGATTTGTAGCTCAGGTGGATGATTTTGGTGGAGTTTTGTTCTCTGAGCTGGATGGTTTGGTCGTGGAGCTTTCATCGTTCTTCTGAACGACATCATCAGCACAAACTCCACCAAAAAGTTATGCGACCTATAAGACGTTGAGACATGGAAGTTTGTTTCAATACTTGTTTTGTAAACGAGGAATCGTAGGAATACTTAATTCCCAAGTTTACTACTGTGTGTAACTTAGATAAAACCTCACTATTTATGATAAAATCTAAGTTGAGTGATGTATTACGAAAGCATATCCATCCACATTTAGCTGCGTTAAGCTCCAGCTGACATTTTGAGTACCACTGCGCTACCTACTTAAGCACCATACTGATGCAATTTTGCATATTGTTCAACTCATGTGGAGAAAATGAATGCACTACTTTAAGATTATCAGCATACAGAAGGGGCTTGCCCACACAAAAAGATCCACAACTATCATTAATAAAAACTAAAAAGAGGAAAGGGACTAAGACACTACTTTGTATTGCACCACTTCTAACAGGGACAGTGTTTGAAAATGAAGAGTTAATGTTAACTATTTGGTGTCGGTTGCTGAGGCAGGAATCAAACCAAGCAAGCAAAGGGTTTTGGACCCTGTAAGATGAGAGTTTATCTATAAGACGTTGGTGGTTAGTCATGTCGAAGGCTTTAGAAATGTCCAAGTATATCACTAAGGCTAGATATCCTTGGTTACGTTGAGTATAGACTAAATCAAAGAAGTCACATTGGCATGTCGTACAAGATCGATTTTTAAGAAATCCATGTTGAGTATCATTGGTAAATTTTTCAGCGAGTATACAGTTGAAGAGTTCGTTACTAATAATTTTTTTCCAGAATCCTAGAGATAACTGGGGTAATATTTATGTGCCGATAATTGGTCGTGACAGTCTTATCTCCAGATTTGCAACGTGGTATGATGTACGCGCTTTTCCAACAGTAAGGGTAAGCACCTGATTCCATAGAGAGAAGAAGTGGAATATCTGAACCACCATATCTGTAGTGAAAGGATGAAATGCCATCTACTCCATGACCTCTCGAAACCTTAATGGTATTTATAGCCTTACTAATTTCCAAGCATGTGGAGGAGATATATTTTATTAGGTTACTAGTCAAGCACATAACTCTTCAAACAGTGCCGTTAATGAATTCTTTCTTATTCGCGATAATACTGGAGTGAACAGAACACGGGTGGGGACAATCGGATTTATTTGACACAAAATTAGAGGATTTGTTAATAAAATCTAACAATCAAATAGTAAATACGTAATTTGCAAAATATTCATCCATTGTCTCATAATGACTCAGACTTCATTGTTCTTGCATTTTCATACAAATCGCATTCTGTTTCCATTCTTTACTGTTCGATCCTCTTGTCTCTCTGCTACCAGCCATGCTGCTCACGACTAGCATCATATACTACTTATGTCTATATAAGTAGCACACCACATTTTCACCGAAAAGGTACGCTATAGTTTTATAGTCGTATATAAATATGCTATTATGCAGGATGCATGGTACATCAACATTTTGATTTGCTTTTACGCGTTTATTGAAAAGGAGAATTAAGTTTTGTACTTTTGAGCTAGTATTACGTGCTAACACCTCCTCATTAATGGCTTTTAACATGTGCCTCTCTTTAATTTGATTAAAAATTCTTGTTATTTGTGCAACTGCCGTGAAGTCATCTGACTTGAAATAACGTTTTTGCGGGCATCTTACTTTATTACGATATTTAGCTGGTACATATCATTCTATTAATCAAATTTCCTTGATCGGGTTGCAATATGGCCGTTAGTCTTGGTGGCTCAAGATCTCACGCACTATACTGAGATATTAGTAGTAGAAGATAGTTGATAGATAAGCTTCGGACCTAGGTTTCGTGCTATTTGACACTTTCTAGAAAGGCGTATCTATAATTTTGTGAGAATTGATGCTCAATATGGGATTTAAGTCCAAGTTACCATTGGGCTATTTGGGCTGAGACTAACCTTCTTTAGAATATTTACAAGTGATTGATCACTAAGTAGTGACCTGTGTAATGTTCTTCAAATACTGATCGAATCGCGTCGATCAAAAGTTTTGATTAGTTTGGTATATATATAAGTAAATTCTACAATGAGTTATGTCAGTAATTTTTATTTATTCAAATTAATAATGAGCATATTTCATCGAAATTCATCACACTCACGTTAAGTAGAAATTTTCTTAGTTTGTTATCTACAATAATTGACGATGTAAGTTTTGTGTAGTAATAATTAGAGTTACCTATTTTTTAAACAGTTAACTTTGCAGTTTAAAATGAATACAGGATAACAATTTTGAAAATAAAAGCTTTTTTCGTACATTCATTTATTTATAGCTTTGTTTAAATGGAGGCTCGTGTATAAATTATCATACTACCAACAACGGCAGTGTCCAAAGAGATAACCAACATCACAAATATCTTCGTGTTCTTGAACAGAACAATTTTTTGGAATCACAATTACCTCATTGTTCTTGTCCATTCGGTTATATTGGTGAATATTGTCAGATAGAATTAGATTTTTGTCAACTTTTTCACCATATTAAACACTACTTCTTTAATTATTTTAAACAACCTAAAGAAATTGAAGATTATTTTCGCAAAAATGTAACCATTTCAAGTTATCATATCAATGATTGGTTAATTTCATCGTCCTTATCATCACTATATTATTCATGGTATGAGATAAACTTATTATATTCTACATTCGTAATAAATTATACATATTCTCGGTTACTGAATGACACTCATATAAGAAAGATTTTATCAACAGGAAATTTATTCATAAACGATTCTCTCGTGAACAGAAAAAGTACTCTATCTGATTCAACTTTATTTATGATAGCTTCACCAATGGGTTTATGTGATCCTATTGGAAGTTCTCAATGTGTTCCATTATTATCTTCTGTGAGTGATGGTTTACAAAGTGATAGTGGTGGGTTTACATGCATTTGTCATGTAGATTATGAAGGTAGATATTGTGAGAAATATGTTGACTTTTGTGATAAAATGAATAAACAATACAATGGGGTAAGAAAACCATTTTTAAAATAAAAAAATTGCTTCCGTTTTTTATCTTGTACAAATGTGTACATGTACATTATTCTTAAACAATGTGAGTTTTATATTAAAAAGGAATAAATTTAACGTTATGCATGTAAGGGAGTGAGATTTCCTGTTGTTATTATCGTGAGCTAAAGTTTAGCAATCTTTGTGGAGATATGAGTATACCTAGTGGTTTGCTTTTAAACAGACGTGTAGTGACATATTTCATTATATTAAGATTGTGTCTAGCAATGGTACATACCAAAACGTGTTACTAAAAGGCTGTATCGGAACAGTCTGTTCATAATGCATACATCTCAGCGGAAAGTGATTAGTTTCAGTCTTTAATGTTAGCAACGGGAGATTAAAAACTCATGGGCAAACTCATTATTAATGGATTGTTAAATTCATTACAGCCATTTAGTATTGTAATCATTAGTTTTTAGACGATAGAAATACTTACCCTATGATGAACTTCGTAACCCACTGGTTGCCATAGAAGATGTCTAGTCATTCGAATTTAATTTCTACACAATTAACATATGTAATGTTACTAAAGGGTACAGATTTCTTAAGATAATAAGGATATTTTACAGCTTGTGTTGTGTATTCTACTCATGTCGAGAGATACAAACGGTATGTAACACCAATCAGAAATGGAAACCCTGTCTGCAGAAGGCTAAGAAGATCGAGTTGAAGAGAATGGAAGTGAAAATAAGAGGGAATTATGAACCGGAAGAATCATACAAATTGTGAAGGACAAGGGATGGAAATTCGCAAATGAGGTATTCATTGTATGGTTCTCAGATTTCAATACGAAATTACAGAATATATTGGTAAACCATAAAGATCATGCACTGATTACTTCATGTCTCTCGACATAAGTAGCATACACCACACTTGGATTATAGTGAATAGAACGCTTTGGTGAATAATGATAATTATAATTATTTTTAGGATTGTAAATACGCGTTACTTGTCACTGGGCTAAAAATAAACTCAATTAAATAATTGGATCTCGTAACATGGTGATTAAGATAGATGGATACGAGATGACGGCAACTGTATGACTTCAATGTATTCATGACACAGACTTTCTCCCCTTTTATTCGCCATCCCTGATATATATATGAGGTCATTTGAAATCTAAATAATTGAATTGTATCTATAAATGTGACACTAGATGTCTCGGATTTGAATCGAACCGGAAGCATGATTTCCTTTAAGTGGGTAGATATTTTTTCCTAACAAGTGCCTTTTAACATGACACCTATGTTTAGAATTACCTAGTGACTGCTTCCAATCACGTAGTATGATATGGTTACGTAACTTAAGTGTTCGTATTTTCCCGTTGTTAATACTAAATACTTTCCTAAATCTAGGATGAACTTGTAAGTACTGTCGATATTGAGGTTTTGTCTGTTTCATGAGAAGTCTCATGTTATCGATAAAGACTGATCAGATTCACCGTTAAATATTAACAAAAGCCTGATATAATTAAACCTTTACAAACCATATAGAAAATAAACATATTTTACTATTCTGTTGATAGATTACTTTAATTGTTAGATGCCAGTTTTGTTATAATTCGTCAGTGATGATCAGTGTTTTTTCACTGTTTTTTCTGTTGAAAAATATAGAATTATTGCTTAAATGGAGGTTGGTGTGAAAATCAAATCAAACAAATCACACCAAACTATAATAGTGATCATAATAATTATAACAATACACATCGTCATCGAATATTCCCTATTTGCCACTGTCCATCAGGTTTTGGTGGAGAAAGATGTGAAGTTTATCATGAATTATGCATTCATTCACCATGTCTTCATGGTGGTATATGTCATCCGACTAAACAACAAGTATCACAGTTACAACTAAAAGAAATTAAATTTAGTTCCACAGTTTCTGGAACTAATTCTTCATCTTACTTTATTCCACCGTACAGATGTGAATGCTTATTTGGTTGGTCTGGAATACACTGTGAAGTTAGTACTGGATTATATTGTGATGTATCGAGATTATGTATGGATTATACAAATTGTAATGATTCTTTGACATTTAATTGTCCATGTACAAAACCAGGTACATTATTGATGGATAATATAAGATGGAAATTTTCGCTTAAAGATCATTATATATTTTTTGCTTATGTTTATTAGTTTTAAATTTGATGTCTGTCGAACGACGGTAAATCATCATCAGTACTGACTCTTTTCCTAATTTGACGTATTTTTTGGATGTAGTTATAATCGTTGGCAGTGAAAACGCATATTAAATCAATTTAGTTCATATTATAGAAAAAACTACATTGTTTCTTGTGTCTGTTTCGATATATCAACTACAGTTGGGCATTTCACATTTAAAGCTACGTTTATTGATTATCATAACGATTTATAGTGAATTGTTCGACTTTCAAGTATAAGAATTATAAAACTCTCATCTAGAATTTTATGTACATGCTTCTGAGGATCTCTGGACCCTCAACAACTATAACCTTCAACAGCTACCCAATGTTCCCTGATTTCTGATTGGTATTTTAGCCGATGTTAATTCATGATAACAACTGTATTTATAAATGTTACTATCAAGCGCATTTAGCAATAGAAGTTCTGAAACATTTTACAGTCCAGTGGTTTTTGAAGGTTTGTAATTCATTCAAGACTATTCAAAGATCCTTCTGTTTTTTTCGTTTGATTTGTTTTTGGATTTTGCTCAAAAAAAGGGAACATTTGTTCGATTCTGACTCACTGATACTTATATTGTAATAACAGAAATATTTGAAAAATTGACAAATCTGATTATATAAGGATTCCTTTTCATCTTATGCTTGCCAATTTTATCTTTCCACCATTTTATTTCTTCATCCTAGCTGTTTTGAAAATATTTTGATTTACAACAAGAACATTTGGTCTTCCAGTCATTAGATCTATCGTTAGTAAATTAACGTTATGTTTAATTTTGAACCGATTTACGATGATATGCTATTGTAAACCTGGAGAATTACGCGGAAATATCTTTAGAAGCTGGGAGAAGTCTGTAAACATTTCGTCAAATGTGCTTGAGATAGAAACTTTCCAAAGGTTCCAGAAAAACAATGGCTTGTGTTATAATCGTACTGATAGATTACCAGATTCATCTTTCAATTTGCAGAAGCCTCCAAAATATTAAGGTCACTCAAGCTCATTCACACCCTTGTTTACCACATCTAAACTAAACTTAAAAATAAAAATTCTCTCCATACTTCACACTTTTTGTCTTTCGCTCCAGGATTTAAATTTGGGAAACCTGTGTGGAGGTAGGAAGCAGTATCAGATGGATTAACAACCACATTGGTTTCTGTCGGCCATTGTAAATAAAATATCTGCGCCTAACCGCTTTGTCTACATGGTTACTACTACTTTTTCTGCTGATAAAAAAATAACGATTTTATATTATTGAGTAGTTTGATCACCGAAAACAGTTTTCACTCTTTCGTCTGATTGATTTTAATTAGTTTTAGCAAACGCTTGTATATTTTACAGTCGTATTGATAAATTGATATATAATTCTTGATAATCACAGGTAATTTGACTTTCATCAACTTTTTGACAATTTGTAATTACTAGTTTTTATGTTCCTTCTACAGGTTATTGTGGCTTAAACTGCGACAAATATGGTACTGAATGCTTTGTGTTCACAAACGAAAGTAGTAGTATAGCTAATGAAATTACAACTGATCTGCCCATTGCTACCACTGTCTTTACTACTACCACTACTATCAGTAGTACGAATATAGTTACCTCGAATAGTATCAAGAAACGTAAAACAATGAGTAGTGTTACATTATGGCCAGGTGAAGAGACTGAATTATCTTATTGTGTACGTGAAAACTGCCAATTAAAAAAACATAATGGTCGGTGTGATCGTGAATGTGATCTGATTGCTTGTGATTTTGATCATGGAGATTGTTTATATGCGTTGTCTGTACCATTGGATCCTCTATCATATATTGAACCCCTCGAAAGTAATGATATTAGTAATCATGGTGATAATAATACAACCCATTACGTGAGTTTTGTACAAGATATCCAACAACATCCAGAACCAGCCATACCATGGCGAAGTTGTTCAGTGTTAATTGAACATACTGAACATACACCATGTCATTTATTATTTGGTGATGGAAATTGCGATCCTCAATGTTTCAGAGAAGAATGTTTATTTGATGGCTGGGATTGTATACAAACAAAATTTGACGTTAATTTGATGAAAGTAGGTTCATTTTTACTAAAATTAATTATCATTATTATTTCTGTAAATTGATTGTCTAATTAACTATAAATCTAGTAAGAATAAAATCTTCTGGATAACATAAGTCAATTACGGTCATTCAACTCCATAGTCTGACTTTAATTAAGCAACCACTGGTATCCAGGAAGCAGTGTACAGTTATTCGTCCTAATAAGTGACGTCATAGCTATGCAAATCCATGATTTCATCAGACATCGAACACAGGGTTTTTAAGCCTGGCTGTGAGCATTTAACCTTTAAACCCTTGAGTCAGGATGTACCGCTTTATATTATAAACTTCAGTCAGTTCGCAGTATTCTGAGGCCATAATTTGCCTCCACTCTTGATATTTATCTCACACTTGAGATGGTTGAATCACATTGGTTATGGCTACTCACTAAAACTCAGGGAGTCCTCTCGCAGTTGATCACTAGTAGGTACATAATAAGGAAACAACTCAATTGTTTGTGACACTAAATAACATCATCCTTCTTATTTTACATCAAAACTTTGAGCAAAATATACGTTTCTTTTCAAAATCTAATTATCTTTTAATTGTAAAACAGTAAAACTCACATGGGCTACTCTAGACTATAACTGGTAATCAATGTACATATTGCTAACAAATTTCACCAATGAGTTCACTGGTATCTATTTGATTTAACATTCTACCATTTTGAATCTCACTTATGTACAGTGTGATATGTTAATAATTTCTGTCTACACCTATCAATAACTAATATACTAACATAGCTATTGTTTATATTTACTTAATAATCTATTGACCACTACCCATTCATTCTCAATATGTTAATACTACGAAGTCAAATATCTCAAGTTATTCTGTATTGTTCTCATTCTTTAACTCGTAAACTTAGTTTGTTCCTTTTTTCACATTTTATGTAACAGAATACTAAGACAGTCATTACTTTTTGAACATTGATTTATTTTGATTGAATTGTTTAAACCCTAATAGGTTTCATGTCGAATTCATTTGAAGTGAATATAAAAATATAGTAACCGGCTAAAATTAAACAAAATTTGACCATGCATGAATTGTGTATCATGTGTAAATAAGAAACATATCTTTAAAAAGTATATTGCTTAATTCCATTAAATATTTACCAATGTATTGTGCAATACACACTGTGTTTGACATCGTTGACGTCTTATTCTGTTAAATAGTCGATAGTTGGTGACTTTGACGTCATTGAATGTGGTCGTTTCCCTTTTAAAATCATGATAAATGAAGAATAACTTCGTATTTCATGTGTTTGTATGTTTATAATATGTACTAAATGAGGAAAAATACAACTACTGTATATGTGAATATGTTTGTGTTATGCTGTACACCCACGCCCATCCATTTACACATGTGCATACAAAGACTCAGAAATATCAGTAACCATGATGATTAGAAAGAAAAAAGCGTACTGAATGCAAAGGCTAGACAGAAAAACAAGAAAGAATGAAGATCAAATGAATTTTTATTATTTTACGCGTATGTATGGTTTTATGTGTGTTCGTTCGTGAGTGCCCCCTTGCTCATGTAATTGTGACATCAGCTTGGCAAATATCGTATCACAGTACATAAATAAAAAAAGAATGAACAAAGACTTCTTATGCGAAAAGAAATGGAATCTTCTTAGTTTTCGAATTTGCTTGACGTAAGCAGATCGTGAATATAGATTTAAATTTGTTTAGTTACAGTTATAGTTTATATATTCTTGATTTTAAGGCGGCAATACATTCGATTGATCAATATGTTTTGTGACATATCAGACAGTGTTCGTCAGTGTTATTCGCTTTCTTCACTTTTATTTAACTTTTTCATGGACATTCTTTTAGAGACAGCACTCAAGTAGTTTAACTTTTTAGGAAGTCGTCTACCAGGAGATACACTTATTAACTTGGAATACTGAAATGATATGTCCCTGTTTGTTGAAGACGCTAACAAAATCCAATCTTCTTGCAGCCTTGAGAAACAACGATAAGATGTTTGTGATGTTAATCTCTGCTTCTAAATGAGAGAAGTTGTTTTAGGACTGGTCGGCGTCAACACCTATACTAGTAATACGGAGTAAAGTGGTTGATCTCGCCAACCAATCCACTTATATTGGAAGCTTGATCATGCTTGGTGGGCCAGTTTTTGGTAAAATCTCGACACAGGTTCAGAAAACTCAGTTGGCTTTTGAAAACTTACATTACCCATCTGCCAACCAGAGGAAGAGTATACTGTTCAGCAGTCCATTCTGTATTGCTATATGGTACGGCCGAGAGTGGGGAGAGTCCGCTCTCCCTCTCGAAATACTCTCACATGGCCACGCGTATATAGCCTCTGCCAGGGAAGTCCTACTCACTGCCTTCTCGTGGCGGGGGTGTTATTTGCGAAAATGAGAGGACGAAAAGCGAATGTCCGGCGCTTTAACCGGATCACAAACCAATGGTGCACATGGGCTCCAGTATCCTGCAGGAACAAATGGCGTATGTACCAATTGTTGGTCACCGGCTTCCACGGGACTGCATCTCCTTACGATGCTCCACTGCCTTGTGGATCAGACCTTTAGGTCAAAGGCTCGGGGAGTGGCCCCCTAAGAAAACCACGTGGTTCGGTTTGGGCACCCGGGCAGTATCACAGCCCTCACACATATCGAATGAGATTTGTGTGGCGCATATGTGTTTGGTGCCTCCTTGTACCAATATCTATGTGTTAAAATAAATAAATAAATAAATGTAAAACATGGTCTTTGAACGAAAAAATTAGATACTTTTTAATATTGCTCACTCGTTTCATTCTATTCAGTATCGAGGCAGTTTGCTCAGGGTCCACATAAATACCTAGATCAATCAGCTTCAGTCCTGTTTATCAAGAACGGGATATTACAAACTTTTATTAATGGGTTGATATAAAATCAGAGATAGTCATTTGTTTACTTGAAAAATAACCAATAGAATTATGCCCAAAACTATATTTAATTATCACATGACTCTCTAAATTCGTATGGAATCCGAATGAGTATAAATGTGCAATGCATATCATGTAAATTTATCACAGGAAGCTTTAAACGACTAAAGCCACCAAGTTATAAGTATTGTGAAATAAGCTGTAAGTTGGTTACAATTTGTACAGCACATGTAAACCAACTGTAGAAATTTACTCGTAAGGTAGACGATAATAATGATGAATAAGATTTCAGTATATCGAATTACATAATTCACTGTAAACTAGTAATAAATAACATTATTCATTAAATAAGCATCATTTGAAAAACTATGATGATAAAAACAACTAAAGATGTCATCTTAGTTTCTAACTAAACATTCCATTGTTATCCATTTTGGGACATGGAAGTCATTGGAAAAAATCTACACAAACCAACTAAAACTGTAAGCAATAATGATGTGAAGTTGAACATTTCAGTTTATTTCTGACGGTGCGATATAGATAAAGAGTAATAATTCACGTGATGACTTCATTTCTTTTAAAATAATTTAATTAAATAAATTATATATATAACAGTTCCTCAAAAATAAGCGTAATTTGTTTTATTCAAATTAAATTCAACACATAGAAAAATGATTACTTTCCCAGAAATGCTTTTTTGCATGATTCTCACCAACAGAATACCAATTAAACTTGTGTATATTTATATTCCAATTTTTAATGCTTTACTGCATATTTATTAAGTTTAATCTTTACTTAATTATTTAAAGAAAAGTGTGTAATTAAAATTTTGCTTATATCATATATAAAATAGGTAATACTTACTTACCTACTTACACACGTTACTCCTCGTGTGGGAGCATAGGTCAACCACCAGCACTCTCCATTCAACCCTGTCCTAGGCAATCCTTAACAGTTCCTATTCATCCTTATCATGTTTGTTTCCAATTCTCGGCTCAGTGTTTTTTTGGCCTTCCTCGTTTCCGGTTCACTTCAGGGTTTCAAGTTAGCGCTTGCCTAGTGATGCAATTTGATGATTTCCTCAATGTATGTCCTGTCCACTCCCAACGTCTTCCTAATTTCCTACTCAATGCGCCGCTGGTTTATTCAATTTCACAGCAGGCTTTCGCTGATGGTATCCAGTCAGCTGACATTGAGTATCTTGCACAGACAATTGTTTATAAATGCTTGTGCCATTTTGGTGATGATTGTAGTACTTCTCTAAGTTTTAACTCCGTACAGTAGGACTGTGTTGACGTTCGTATTGAAGATTGTGACTTTGATATTGGTTGACAGTTGTTTTAAGTTCCATATGTCCTTCGACTGCGTTGCCGATTGTTACCTTTATATCAGCATCGGATCCTCCTTGTTCATCGATGATGCTGACCAGATACGTGAAAGTTTTCACCTCTTCCGAAATTTATCCTTCAAATGTGATTGGATTTGTGTTGTCCGCATTGTATTTGAGGGTCTTGGTTCTTCCCTTCTGTATGTTGAGGCCTACTGATGCAGGGGTTTTTGCTACATTGATTGTTTTGACTTTCATTTGTTGGTGTGTTTGGAATAGAAAAGCTAGGTCATCTGCAAAATAGGTGATAGACTTGATAAGAAAAAATATTTTATAAAGGTGGATTAATCAGAATTGAGAAAATTACTTTGAAGTTGTTGTTAGGAAATATAGTTATTTTTGTTATGAGCAAAGCGGATGGTGACTAGCGGTGAAATCCGGAATGAGCATTTTGTCTTTTTTAGGACTTGTTTGTTATCCATATAGTTCATTCATAATTTTTAAATGAATTAAATGCTCAATTTTTTAAACACAAACTTCATACAATGTATAAATCAATCAAATTTCGTTTCAGTTTACTTTATTGATAGTAAATTTATAAGTTTCACTTTCGTTGTGGAGAATTGGTGAAATAGGATTTTCATCAGATTTCTTATCAGACATCACGTTTCCGCTTACTGTAAAATATAATTTTGACTACCATATTATTTTATTGAGAGAAAGCTAGGTGCTCTTAGGTAAGACACGATATCAGTTTATGAAATCCTTGATTCGCTATTGCAGTGAAAAAGAACAACAGTGGAGAACAATCGAATGTGTTTGACACAAAATTAGAGCGTTTGTTAATAAAATCTAACAATCAAATAGTAAATACGTAATTTGCAAAATATCCATCCATTGTCTCATAATGGCTCAGACTTCATTGTTCTTGCATTTTCATACAAATCGCATTCTGTTTCCATTCTTTACTGTTCGATCCTCTTGTCTCTCTGCTACCAGCCATGCTGCTCACGACTAGCATCATATACTACTTATGTCTATATAAGTAGCACACACCACACTGTCACTCAAAGGCGAAGAGTTTCCATTTGAGGATTTATTGGTAAAAATATCCCATACTTATCATTCCCTGATTTCATTCCAATACCTTCAGATTATGTCACTTAATTATTCATATAAACAATTTCTTATGTGACTGTACGTTGAAACGAAATGTTTATTTGGGTCTATGGAAGTCTATTTCAGTTCTTGTGTTATTCTTTACTAACAAATTGACTGACCAGTTGACTATTTTTAATGTTCTTTTTCTCCTTATCTTTAAAAATTACTAGGAAAACTGCTCCGAATCATCATGTCAAGATTATTATATTACTAAAACAATGGAATGTAACCAAAATGATGGGGATAATTGTACATTAAATGATGATCTCAAAAATATCACATTTTCCATGAATTTACCTATCATATATGACAATAATAATAATATTACGAATATGTCATCTAGTAGTAGACATTACACCAATCATATTGTACCAGGAAGCTTAGTTCTATTGATTAATTCTACTCCAGAAGAATTGATAACAATACATTCTGAGAAATTATCACTACTGACTTTATTAAACACAATTTTACATTTAGAAGTAGAAATTGAACATCATCCAAAGACTGGTAACTTAATGATCTATCCAGTAGTGTATATTACTAATTATACAGATGACAATTATGAAAATTCGTTATTTAGAACAATACAACTGAAAAATAGTAACTTATTAACATCTAAACAAGTGAATACAAAGTCAGGTGGGATTCGTTCACGATATTCACGTCATGTGAATATGAAATCATCATTGTCGGATAAACAATTAATGTTTGATCAAAATGAACAAAAAAAGAGAATTTATCAGAAAGAAAGTATGGGAAGTCAAGTTTATTTACAGTTGAATTCGAAAAAATGCGATGAAACCGGTAAGTATGCAAAAACATTTTAGTTTGCAGATGTCTGACTACTAAAAATTAGACCTTACTACTCGAGCGTTTGTTATTTCACTTTAGTAACTTTGAGTTTTTATCTTTACCCGCCAAAACAGCTCATACTGAATATTTTATGGACTTTTTGTCGTATTTACAGACGCCTTTTTTTCCTATTGATTTATTACTCTTCAGTATGCTAATTTTTACCCGACTGTCAAGGAAATTGTCAATACTGTTGTTGCCCACTTAAACGATTATTCTTTGATCGTTTCAAATAACTCTAAAGAGAATTAATTGTTTTTTAGGTGAAAACAACAGGTTATTGTATTGAGTTTGATCAGAAATCTCACAGGTTTTATACTGTATATAAATAAACAAGCCGAGCCATTTTATGTATTTGTTTTCTTGTGTGCTTGTTTAAAAATGTAGAAGAGGGAATATATGTGAATGATTTTAAAAGAGTGAAATGTAGAACATTAAAGGTTATCTTCGTGTGAGACTTATGAAAGCAGATGGCGAGTGGACTATTTAGAATCTGAGAATATTAAACAATTATTTTTTTCCCTTTTTGAGATTTCTCATTATCAGTGGACACTCAAGATCTTTATCCAAATAACGTTTAATTTGTAATGAAAATCAGTTCCAAAATAAAAAAGTTTCTCATGATGTCACTATTTAAAAATAATTTATTTTCAACTCTTTTAAGTCATTTATTTGAATCATATAAATAATGATGCATGATTTCACCACATATAGTTTTCTATCATTTTTCTAAATTACTGTGAATACATTCAAATGTTAATATGTCATCTGCAATCGGTATATGACCTGTGATATTCAGTAGTTTTATAATCGTGCACTTGAACGAATGTATGATTTTATTAAATAAAGTCTGATAGTTGCTACAAGGAGAATCTAGAACACGATTATCATTCTATTTCGAATTCATTAACTAGATTTATCTGTATCACTATGTTGACGTTCACACTGATATTTGAATTCAGTATCTTTCGTTGCAAATAACCAATAGCCTATTATTCATTAAGGTGATGAGTACAGGATATCTGAATTTTATTTGTAAATGTATGATTAATATTTGTCTTTGACATGAACAGTAAAGAAATACAAATCTTTACAAATAATGTGTGAGATTTATTATTATTTGAAATTCGCATGTGCAATTGGGTGAAAGACAAAACAAAATTCCTTTTACTAATGTTTGGTTACTTAATGTTATTAGTTTTATCAAAATAATATCATAAATGCATAATATTGTTCTAAAAAATGTATTTCTTTGTCCAAAAGAAATAAAAACATTAGATCATATCATGGATAGAAATGGATTTTTAATTATACCAATACATTTAAATGTAAAACGTTGTGTATTAATTTTAATTAACTGACGGATACATGTGTAATGGAATAATAATTGCAGTTGGAAACACAAAACAAAACGATTTAACGTCATCCTATTAAGAGAATCAAATAAATAAACTTTGAACAGAGGTGATGGTGTCTAGCAATGGAATCCGTGACGCGCGTTACATCCTATTTGTGACTCGTCAGCTGGATATACATTCATCCCAGAGTTGATTTTCACTCCAGGAATTAAACCCAGCACCGTTCGATTCAAACAAAAATAAAATAAACTTCAACTTCCAGATTGAGATTTACAAACTTGATTTTATCTATTTGATAATTGTAAGGAGATCTAAGAGTTTCATTTGCTTCTATGTTTGAATATATTATCGTGTAGTGGAATTTTAGAATTTCATTTCATTCTATTGTAAAACCCTATCATGGTTATATACTAAATAAGATTTAGTGATTGTGATCTATTCTGTATTATTATTATTTTGGATTTTATTTACAGTAGGCTAATTAACTTATTTATGAATGAATTGTATTAAGATCCTGAAATTCTTAGTGACTATATAAGATGGTTCAGTCAATTTATGAGTAATATAGATAACATGGTATATTTCTGTATTGTTTCAAGTTATCACACAGTGAGATGAAATTATCAAAACAAATGATGGAATATTAGAAGTGGTTACTGTGTCAGTATCGGTAGTAGCCATGGGGAAGATCAATGATAGACAAGAGAAAGAGAATGTATAACATGAACAAGGGACACTAGTTTACTAGCTTGCACTAGCTTACAAAATTATTCAGTTTTGTTTTTTATTAATCAAATGATTTTCATCTCTTAATACAAATGTTTATCGGTTCAAGTATTACACCTTATACCAATACAATTAAGAAAATAAGAAGATAAACGGAAGAAATAGCATTATCTATGATGAAGAAAGCCTAAGGATGTAAAATACAGTTGAAGAAAGAGAGAAACCAGATAGAAAAATGAAAACGTTCAGTATAGCATTTTCATTAAGATTTAAAGGAAAGTATAGAATGTATAGGGTTACAAAGTCTCAATTTTACACCACTGACTATGAAAATTGAATGGGTTAAAGTCGAAAAGTTTGAACATACCGATATAATCAAGATTAGAAGTCAATGACTTCATGAACTGATAATAATGTCTTAACTCATCAATTCTTAGTTTCATTCAAACCTACTCATAAGTAAATTAAGGTTACGCTGTGGACAACGTGGTTAGAATTGAGTCACTTTTTTCCTAATCACATGTTCTTTATTACTGACAATCAATCATCAAAATTATCAATTTCTAAGAATTATATACTATTAGTGAATAGTTTGTATTAGAATTTGTTGTCTTAATGATAATCTGGTAAGAAGACGTTATATAGTCATTTGCGCATTTACTCATTATTCCATCTTTTTTTATTAACTAATTAGCTGATGTTTGTTTTTTCCAATTGTAATAACTTTGTGTCTACTGACTGTTGTGTCTAATAACCAAATTAATCAGGTTTTACTATGTTTGGCATTCATTATTTAGAATACACTCAACAAGCAATGGAAAAAAGGTTGCACCAACTAACCTTTTCCTTAATTCCCTACTTCTATTCCTCTCTCTTTCACTACCTATTTTCTTTCAGGAAAGAACTCTCACTTCGTCCCTCCATTTTTACATTCCTAGTGTTGCTTCCCTTATTTTTCGTCAATACTTCTGTTATTATTACCGCTATCATTGATACAACTAACACTACTACTTCTATTACTATTTTGTGTGCTTCTTAAAACTAATAAAATAGCAGCTGCCTTGTCATTCTCCGAAATCATTTATCATTTTAATTTAGTTTATGCATGGAAAAAAGGTAGAGAGGAATACCAGACGAATACACAGAGAAAACAGTAGTAGTCATCTTTTCACTATTATTATTTTTTTTATTATTAGCCTTTAATAAGACTATGAGTCAAAAGATTCTTACAAGAATACAAACATAAAGGTTAGAAGCAGTTGTAAAAGAGGAAGGGATCGATAGCAACAGTAACAATGGTTTAAGCACACAAACATATCCGCTCATCCGCGATAACACAGACATACGCATGTATGCGATACATCTTGTAAAAAAGAAACACAAAAAACTGTGGACCCGCTCATAAATTTCTACGTTTTTGTTACTGAAATTCAGTCAGTATAGATTGTAAGTTTCTTCTGTTGTCTATACTTGTCTATTTGTGTGCAAAGATCTATGCATATGTGTACGTGTGTGAAATAGAGATGACTTGCTTGTCACATGAATGCATTCCGACATGTGTGAGGTATAATACTTAAGGAATAATTTTACCATTAGTAATATTATTATACTTAGTGTAGCTAATAAAGCCAATATCATATTCAAAACCAGTTCTTTGAAATCATTTTATTATCTCTCTCTCTCCTGTATGTGATTCTAGTGTACAACAAGTTGAATATTTGAACAAGATAAAGGTGATCAATTACTTAGTTCAATTATATGGACTGATCAAGGCTCACTTTCTCTGTCATATTTGATCAGCATGTGTTTGTATTTTCTATTATTCTCGATATTACTTTTTTAGGTTTACCGATTAATATGTTGTATTTTTAGTATTTGATTCTTAATTAGTATATTTTTGTACATTCATTCAGTTGTCTAAAGATTGTGCTGAACTGTAAAAGTAATTTATGAACTTTTTTATCGTTCTACTTGATGACTATGAAATATGACGTTCGAAAATCCGGGATATTTGTAGGTTGCCAAGTATTCAGGTATTAATGCCATCGAAACATTGCTTGAGTATGCTTGAATCACCAACTAGACGATGTAAATTCATTCATCATTTTGCTTACACCTAATTTTTTCTACTACAGATAATACCCATAACACTACTAAGTCTGATACTCTGACATTTTTCTTGACAATTTCATGTTGTTGTGTTAATATAGAATGGTAAATGAAACTGATGCACATATGTACCAGGTTCCACATTGTGTATGACTAATTAATAAACTATTACTGTTCATAACCGTGTGTAAAAAGAATTGTTTTTATTGGTAGTTTTCATCAAGAATATAAAGGATCATAAAAACCATAAGAATGATATGAGGTCAACACGACTGTCAATGTCCTATTTCAATAAAAATATCGGAATTGTACTATCCGTAGTGGTTTATGATTACCCTCTTGCTATCCAAATAGTTTCTGTTTTACCTGAATTTGACAAGATTGTCTGCGCACTCGATCCTAGCAAACCACGAATAAATGAACCAGATATGGAGTTTAACTTTCGAAGATTTCTAAAATTGTTTTAAGAATAGAAACGGAGATGGAAGAACTGTACTGGCACATAAAGTCGAGGAGTATTTTCAATGAGTTAAGATTGACGTAATGCAAATTTCCTTGAAGGTTATTGTAACCATAGTTCATATATTTATTGGAAAAGTTATTTAATAACTTCATTTTCTGTGATATTTAAGTAGTTTTATTTACTTCTTACCTAACAAAGTATACGACTCTTACTTCGCTGTACGCAAACTCTTTAATAGTAAATGAGTTATACTTACTTCCAAATTTTTCATAAGACATTATTAATCTAGTATGAAT